TTCATGGATTTCGGGAAAGCGCCGGGAACCCAAGTTTGCGTCTTCCCTTTGACCTTACTAGGGCAATACTGTGATTTTTCTTGAATGGGCTACAATTTTAACAAGCTGCAAAACATTTTGCTGCAAATGCCCAGGGCCGCTCGCACGAACAAGCAAGTTGCAAGGTTCTGTGGAATGCAAATGTCCTGCAACAGCCCCTGCGTCATGGAGCGATTGCAGCAAAAGTGCCACAACACAAAACCAGGATGCACACATGTTCATGGTAGAGGCCACTTGCTCCCACATGCACAAGCAAAACACGGCAATGACAATCATGTGCATATTTGGCGACAATCAAGAAAATGAATATCGCGCGGCTTTTATCAGTTGAAGGGAGCTCCAACAAAGAAACAATAACCGAGCACAACACAATAGCCCAAACTTAATTTACACGCTACACCAGCGTGTCTTGCAGCCAAGACTCTTGGCCTCGTGGCAGGGGTGGTACTTGCTGTCCTGGGCGTCTTCTGTGGAGATTGGGTCCACAAAAAAGCATTGAAAAACCAAACCCCTCATGGCAACCCAATCCCGAAGGGTACCCTTTCTTAGCTTAGCCTTCAGGGAAAGAAACCACAAGGAAACCAGGCTCTTTCCCATTAGAAGACAAGCACTTGCCTTCTCCAGCGCCGGCGGTGGGATGTCAAAGCTGCGGCGCCAGATCTGCACCTGCTCCGCGCCGTGCTTCACCACCGTCTCCTGCCGGTTTTGATTGGGGGGGTCATGTGGCCGAATGCGACAAGGGGTTGTACCAGAGGGGAACTTCTCCCACAATTCGTGGGTTCTCTCCTTTTGAACAAAAACCAAACAAGGTACATAGCCTTGAGATGCCGTCATGGCAAAACGCTAGATCCGCTAGATCCCTGAAAGAGATGGCAAGTTGGGGGTTCCTGGCCATGACGACGTGCCGACCAGAACAAACCACGAGTTTCCCTATCCTTCTTGTCAAGGCCAGTAAGGCCTCCGTACATTCGCTCATTGAGGCGCCAGGACTTGTTCTGGGGCACATACAGCTGGTCTGCTGCCTCCAGCGCCAGGTTGCAAGTCTTGATGGCGCGCTTCAGGAAGGAGGTGAAAGCCACATCGATCTTCAGGCCTTCCTTGCCAAGTGTGTTGGCCCAGTACGGCCCAAAGTGAAGGGCTGCCCCCCTACTAAGCAGGGGTTTATCAATCATGACTTCACATCAAGTAGACTCGGCCCCGAAAAAAAGGCTGCCAAGCTTCGGTCTTCAAGAGCTCCCCAGCCCCCTTAGCCTCACCCAAGCCCTTCTCCGAGAGGTCTACGTCCACCCAGCCCGTGAAGATGTTGGCCACGTTCCACTCGGACTCTCCGTGGCGCGAGAAAACCAGCGTGGCATGCTTGGACATTGCAGGAAGTCAAACGTGAAGGGCGTTCTGACTTTGAGCTGGGAAACGCTGATTCTTCGATGCCACAGAACATGATTGAAAATCTGTCCTTGCCCCGCCCCCCTTCCCTGTCCGACTCACCTCGAGCACCAAACTCTGACTGAGTGCTTGTCCTGCTCATGCCCATGGCGCTTTTTCAAGTGCCGCCGTTTTCCATAGTTTTCCAGTGGTCTTGCCTCCCACGGCAGGTGGGGCAAAGTAAAAGTGGCGGGCCAGCTGCCTCGGCCAAGCTCCACCACTGCTTCAGCTGCAAAAGCTGAACAGAGCTCAACCGCTCTTCTTCACGCCCACGATCAGGGGGCCAACCTGAGCCCCAAGTCTGGTCCCAACTTGCCCAAACCGTTAATATTGGAAACGCTTGTCCCGAGCGGCATTGTCTCCTGTGGCCTCGTTGTGCTTTTGATGGGAACCATCCTTGGCGGTGACCAAGCGTCATGTTAGGGTTGGTCAAAAGGAAAGGTCTGGTCTCTGAGGCACCAATGCCTGACTTTCCCTTTTGCATAAGATCACCAACGGGTCCAAGGCAAGTCTTGCCCCCTTGGAGCAACCCTCGATGCGGCGTCTGAAAGCGCAGCAAGTCAAGAAGGATATCCGCCGAGACTCACAAAGCGGGAAAGTACCAGAGAGCCAGCAACGGCAATAAACCTTCTTGTCACCCTCCTTCAGGTCCTGACCCAAAACTTGCTGCACGCAGCAAACGTTGTCCTATGCTCGTCTCCTCCTTGGTGACCACCTTTGGCCTTGGTGAGGGCCGAAAAGTACCACGAACATCCACGAACCGAGGGAGCATTCGTTTGGGCCGCGGACACCTCAGGGCTGATCTTGTTGTTTATCTTTCCCTCAGCGCTTCCTGAGTGCGACAACGCGACACTGCGTCCGAGAAAGCATCCAAGCTCATGCCATCTTTCCGGCCAGGCGGCGGCAGGTGCAAAGCTGCCGGCCTGCGAGCGCCTCCCATGGACAAACAAAACACACAATCCAAGCCTGACAATCTGCGGTTGAATCGAAATCAATGGAAACCAAAAGGAAGTTGGAGGGGAGACCACTCATCTTACCTTCCTGGGGCCCACACCAAAAGACCTGCCGTGGCAGCGAACACTCCAGCCGGTGTCTGCGTGCCGGGCTTGGGAATGCTGGTGCCCGCTGCAGCTGCTCCTAGTACTCGCAACTTCATGAACATCCTTGATCTGGCCCTTAATCTTCTTCGTCCTAGTATTAAATTATGTTTATTGCATTCGACCTGAACTTTCTCATCTTTCCACTACGCTCTGTCTCTCCTTCTCTCAAAAGTCAGATGGCTAGTTCATTTCACTTCACAAATACTCATTTAGAATGTTGAACAATGAAAACGGATAACCCCCAGCGGAAGTGAGGGTGATTTTTATGGGTTGGCTTTGCAGGGACAACTCATGGTGGCATCTAGGTCGGGAACAAGGTCCTGGCGCCCGTGCCACCGGTGCAGGAGCAACGAAGGCTTGGAGGCTAAGCCTGCAGCCATTTCAGCAGTTCCAGCTCCAAAGGTGGCATGGAAGCCCAGAAGGCAACCCAAGTAGTCACGAACAACCATTCACTCCGCCACACAGTCGGCAACAATAAACTTGAGCCGGGGTTGCGCGAATGCGGCAGTGGCCACGAAAGCAGCGGCCTCGTAATAAGAACTTGGTGCGCGACCTTTTACCTGAATAACAGGCAGCCTCATGCATCCTAGTGGCTGCAGACCGGCGCGCCATGAGCGGCAGTAGAAAGTCTGCACTGTTCGGGCCAGCAGCTATGGGCAACGAATTGCTGGGTGTCACGCGGCAAGCCTAAGCCCAGCTTGCTCTCTCTCTCTCTCTTTTCTCCTCTGGGCCCGGCCAACTTGGTGTCAGTCCCTCAGCCTAGAACGAGAGAACCTTGGCTGTGGCTTATGGCACTCTTGCGAAACGAGGGTGTCCTCAGCGCCGTGCGCGCTGATCGGCTTCCCATGCGCCCAAGCAAATTTAACCTGAACAGCGCGGGTTTGCGATGCTAATCGCTGAAAAAGACAAAAGGACAGGTGGAAGCCACGAAAAGGCAGCCAAACCTTCTAGAGCTGGGGGGCTCTGGAACTCCATGGGTCGTCAGAAGAACTGATCAATCACAAGCCCCAATCAATGCGCCAAACATGAGCCGCCCTGAACGGTCCAACCAGCAATGACTTGTGCGGACAGGGCGACGTGGACGTCCCTCCGGGAAAATGGGAGCACATGTAGTACAGCAGGGACACCAGCTGCACCACCTGACACACATACGCTCACATTGCCACCTGTGCCGACATTATGTCGGCCCCTCATGAATGACTCCCCCTTCCCTCAACTGTACCAGCCGTTTATGACTGCTCCAAGTTGCTGCAAAAATGGCAGTGAAGATGTAGCTCCTGCGTATGAACCTGGGCCATCTGGCCAAGCAAACATGAGGCGTGCGATGGCCCAAGCCGAGTCCAACATGAAGAGATGCGTGGAAATCAGCTGCGTTCAGCAAAGCCACGTTGCCCAAAGCGTCCCAAGAAGGCCAACGAGATATGCCAGGGAGAAAGGCAACTTTTTTCGCCTGATCAAAACACGTGCGGCTAGGGGAGGGAAGCAAGCAACGAGTTGCTACAAGCCAAGTGTCTGTGAGATCTGCTCCTTGGCTCCGGCTGCAGTCAGGCAAAGACTTGACTCTGCAATGTCGGCTTGAAGTTCGTTTGAAGACATGTGCTCAGCCTTGGACCAGAAAAGCCTCAGCTGCTCTGCTTTCGCTTGTCATTGCTGTTGCCGTGTCGCCCCTGTGCTTGGCAACTGTTCAGTCAGGCCACTCGCCACCCGCTCCTCGGTGCTCAATGCCACAAACGGCAACCAATCAAGGCTTTCAGACGAGGTGCAGGTACACAAAGGCGCCCAGCATAACCATCGACCCGCTGGTGAAGAGCAGGGAAAAGGTGGCCCTGAGGTTTGCCCACATTGATTCTTGATCATTGACTGGCAGCTAAAGTCTATGCTTCAGCTGAGCTGCGGCGCAATGAGCAGCGTCGGCAGGAAATTCAAAGAAAAGAGGACCTTTGTCTGCAAGATGTCATTCCCTAACAGCCCTAACACCCAACCAAGGAGGCAGGGCAGGTATTGCACGCAACTGGCTGGGCGAGCATGAATTCCAGATCCAAAGCAGCCACCAAACAACTTGAGCGCGCTGCCATTGCCAGCCCGCAGGCGAAAATGCTGATAAAGCGCCACAACCTGCATGGATCCTCAGTGACCATATGCATACCCACCGCATGGCAGTTGTCAAGCAGCCAAGGCTCCATTGCCAAAGATGCAGCTCCAGACACGCGTTCGCCTAAGGCAAGGGCAAAGACTTGGGCGTGCCTATCTTGACATGACTCACCCCTTTAAGGGCAGCACTCGCCACAGACAATGCACCAACAGCGCCTGGCATAGGCTGCGAGCGTGCCAGCTTGGGAGGGCTAGCTACCGCACGCGTTCATGTGTCTGCGAGGCCTTCACGCGCATTCTGCAGCACGTTGGACTCGCTCAGCCTCTCCTGCAAACATCCAACGCAGCAATTAACGCATCTTCCCTGCTCATCAAGAGGTACCTGCAAAGAAGAAGCCGAGGATGAGGCTGTCGATGCCACACCTTTGTGCGAAGAGTTGCCCTCAAAACACTCAAATATCGAGCACAAACCCTGCCGCAAAGGAGCTCTGCAAGCTTCGGGAGGCACCTGTCTTCACAGCCTGACACACAGTTGATGCGAATTTCAGCCAACACGTTCTGCCAACACTGATGTGCAATTCGGGCGACGAGGCTGTGAAAATCGGCCGACAACTCACATTTTTGCGGCTGCAGTTTGCCAGCACAACTGCCCAATCAAACCTGAGTTCCCGCCGCCGAGCATCTCACACAACTGGACCAGGCCAGCGGTCCCGACCGTCCCGCAAGCATCCCAACCGTCGTCACCGTCCCAACCATCTCACCATACCCACCCTTCCAACCCTCGACCCTCCCAGCCGCTCCGACCACCGGAACCAAACCTCAGCCCCCGGCGTTGCGCACCTCACAAACTGCTGTCCCGACCGTCTCGCGAGCATCCCAACCGTGCATCGACCAACCTGGAAGCAAAGCTGCCAAACCAACCCAATCAGGCAAGCAGGGATGGTAGCAGTGCTTGCTTGGAACTGCTGCGGCTGCCACCCTAAACAGACCACACACCATCCCTGAATCACCCCAGAGCCACTCAAAACCAACCGTAAGGGACCCTCAAACCACCCTAATCCGACCCTAAACCCACACCAAGCCACGCCTTAACCAACCTAAAAGCCGTCCAAAACCAACCCTTCACCTCTTGCACAGCCGCTTTACCACGGTCTGCTACGCCGTGCGGATCAACTGGGCCATCCAACACTTCAGACCGTGCCGAGCATCCCCACCCTCTACCATCCAGCAACCGTCTGTTTTCTGAATTTGGCGCTCTTTGAACTTTGGTTGCCGACATTTCGCCCCGTTGCTGAACGTCTCTTTTTCCCTCGACACCCCTGCCCACCAGACTTCTCCCCGATCTGGGCCCCCAAACGGCTGCAACAAATCCAACATCATTCCTTTGAAGGCCACCCCGCCTCTGCATGAGCTGACCAATCCACAGTCTTCGCCCGCTCCATGCCCTGGCAATTTCACAGTATGTCACAATGATCGGTTGACTCGCCTTGTAGGCCAGGCAGCCAGCAACAAACACGCAAAGATGGAAAGGCCGCAACGGAATCTTGCCTAACCATTTTGGTCAATTCTTGGCATGGTACTTACTGAAAAGACGCAGCGCTCCTTCGCTCAAGGACAGGCAGCTTGGACATTGCTTCCAGCACGGCCAAGCTGCCGAAAGCCAAGAAGCCAGAAAGGTCATCCAGTGGCCGCGGTGCTGATGACAGTTTGCTGTCATTGCTGTATGGAGGACAGTTGTCCAGTTTATGTTCTTTGTCTTTTCGTGTGCCTCGCATTTGATTTGGGCTGTTTACTCTGTTTATTGCTGGGGTGCCCGGACGCCGAAGCCCGGACCTCATGTGTCTATGATGTTGGCCTGGTTACAGCCTCTCTTCATGGTTCTCTTAGCTCACATCTCAAAGCTCAGCTTCAGCCTCCCGGAAACCCAGCTGCCCAATCAGCCGCTTCCTCAAGCAAGGCGAGTCGGCGCCTGCGACACGTGGTCCGAGAAAGAGGCGCCGGCCGCACTGGCAGAAGAACTGACCTGGTGAAAAGGTGCTGGCAAAAGGGGCATTGTATGGCATTGTGCTTCGAGTTGTTTCCGAAGGAGACGAATCTCTAGTCCCAGCACTACAGTAAGGGTTCATTCAGAACAACCCAGAAAGGATCCCTCATTTTAATGCACATGTAATATGAAAGTGTGGCTGCTGCATGTCCCCAATGCCCAAGACACCGAATTGCGCGGTGCACCCCGCCTTTTGAAAGCCTGATGTTACAGACTCGCGCACGCCGTGGACCTAGGACTGCAAGGCTGAGGCAAAAGCTTGAAACTTCATGATGGTTTGAAGCTCCCCACGGGGTCCGGATGGTTGCAGCATGCCCTGCCTGCTCGGACCAGTCGATGGTGCGCGCTTGCTGCAAGCCCTGCAGGCTGGCTGGACGCTGGACAGCTACAAAAGCCCATTATAGCAGCCTGATTCAGCCTTACAAGACGAAAAGGATTTGTTCTCTGGCCGTTGCCTGCGTGAAATTCTGCTGCGCTTGCCTTCCCGATTCCCGGAGCATGCGTGACCCTTTCAACTTCCCGTTCACGACAGCACACAACAGCCCGAAGAACACGGGGCAAAGCGCACCTTGCCCAAAGCGAAAGCCGGTCGTGCATCTCCACCTCACCACGACTGAGGCAGGCGAGGCTCTGCGTGCGAATGGGGTCCCAGCATCCGTCTGTGCACCATCAACAGGCCTGGACCTTAGCACTTCTCGTGAAAAGTGTCAATATCGGGATCCCGAAAATGGTGGCGAAAGCGCAGCTCAAAGCAAAACACATGGCCCAGTTGGGCCTCGGAAAGTGCCACGCCTGGGCGCCGTGCAGCGGCACGGTGAGGCTTTCATCGGGCTGGGACAGAGCGGACCGGGCGCGGCGGGTGAAAGCATTGAAGGCGGACCTTCGCAAAAGGGGCTGCGCTGGCTGCGCTGAAAGGCTTCACAGAGGCACCATTTCACCCTGAACACCAGAGCCCCAGCCAGTACCCCCTAAGGTAAACCCCAAAATGAGCAAAACTCGCTGACCGCAAACAAAGCAAAACAACAAAAGCTCGCAAGTGCCTCCAGTCACCCTCCTCGCTTGGTCCAGAATCAGCCTCATCTCCGACCTGAAGCACCACCAACGTGAATCGATTCATCCAAATGTCACACCTGAGCTCAGGCCGTGACTCCTGACATCATAGCTGCAACCGCACATGGGGCTTCAGCGAATGTCAAATGTGGAAGTTTGTCTTGTCTCAGTGCACTCTCACTCCCGTCGGTGCTTCGGCTGATGTCGACAGAGTTTGATCTGTTTGTGAGCATGTCCACCCAGTTGTTTCCAACAGAATCTCCCATCATAGCTATTCATGTGGAAGGCTTGGTGCCAACAAGCTGCGCAACACGTTGACAGCAAGGGCATGTGGTGAAGCGCTATTGGGCTGGAGCAAACGCTCAGAACAGCATCATGCATGTTCCATGCGGCAGTTTTGAGCAAAGCCATGCGAAGCCATGCCCTCTGTGAGACATACACTATTTACATGTTCAGATCATTCTCATGACCGAATGACCCAGGCGCTGTCACCCAAGCGCGGTCGCTGCAATTGGCTACGAGCTCTTCTCATTGTCCCCGACCTGCTGCGGCAACGCATTTTCACAGCTAGCAGCTGTAGCTGAAGCATTACACAAACAATTTGGGCCCAACTTCTTGGTTCCACTGCCTCAAAGCCATGTTTCGAACCAAAATTCGGAACAAGAGTGCCAAAGCCGCCACTCAGTTGCATTTTCTGATAACCTGCACGGCCAAAGCTTGGCCTGCTCCATGGCCGACATGACGCCGTACATGGACCCCCAGGTCAGCACCTGGCTGCTTCGCAACTCGGCGACAGAGGCCGGGCTGGCCCAACTTGGAGAAGCCTGCCTTTATCTTTGCAATTCCCGCAGGAAAAAGAAGGGCCCCCGTTTCTTTCTCAAGGGAGTCAGGTGAAGCCACAGGATCAAGTGAATCCTCATGGTAAGCTGCTTTGCCCACAAGCAAACAAGCGACAAAATTGGATCAATTGTCCTTCACCCTCTTTCAATCCGGTTCGGTTCTAAGTGGTTGTCCCAATAATTTTGGAACGTTCAACACAGCCAACCGTATTCTCGGGACCTCCCCCCCTCCCCCCTCCCCACCAGCTGCGGAAGGCCCAGCTGCAGCAGCTCTTTGCTCATGAGCAGCGGCAGGGCCCCATACAGCGTGAGCACCACGCCCAGGTACTGGGGGTGCCGCAGCCCGGTGTTGAAGGGGAACCCGTGGCACCAGGGCACTGTGCGGCCCAACCTGTGGCCGAGGGAAAGTGAATGGAATTCTCCCCAGGTCAACGGGCCTCTAACAATTAAACATCCATCGTCTGTAGATGGGATCTCTTGTTGGGGTGCAAATTTGCAGAAGGGGCCGAGTAAAGAATAGCTTAGAATAGCGCCTCAGAATGGCTTGGAAAGGAGCCGGCAAACAAAATGAAAAAACATTGAGCGGGCCGAGGAATTTCGGGAGACCACAGGTGCCCTGCTTGATCACTTTAGTCTGAACCGCTGAGACGCTTGAAGCCGTAGTAGACACCCGCGTTGCCAATGGCGTTGTAGGTCGCAACATTCAATGCCTGTGGCGAATGAAATTCGCCCCATCTGTCTCTATCAGAGGCTTTTGCAAAACATATTGCAAACATAGTGTTTGTTTGATCCCTCTCTTGACCACATGTTGCTTGCAACCGCTGGGAAAACCCCCCACCCCCCAATGGGCGTCACTTCCCATCGTGCCAGTGCCCGCCTGCCCGGCCGCCACCAGCGCGGCGAATGCCGCCCAGCACCAGGCAGGCGCTGTGGAGGCGGCGGCCCAGGCGCCCTGCCGGCCACTGGGGCCTGCGAGAATCAAAGCGTTCAAGGCTTTAACGGTTCATCGGTTCATGTTTCTATTTTTTCCCTAGTAGGGCGTTTGGATGCTTTTGGACTTCAGAAAAATAATGGCGGTTAGTAGAAACACCTAGTCTTTGAATCGGGCCCCCAAAGAAAGCAACTACAGTCTAGATTTCAAACTCTTAGGGGTCAACACGAGTTGGTCGTAACTGCCCCCTTGCCAACAATCATGGAAGCTGCCAGGAGGCTTTTCGGTGATTGTTACGGAGAGGTGGGTTACTTTGAACATCACTCACCAGGAGGCTCACTTGAAATTGTCCCTTAAAGGTGATGCACCATCGTCAAAGGAAACATGAGACCTGCAACTAACAGTTGGGAAAACATGGGCAACGTGAGAGAGTGTCGCAGAGTGGTGGGCACGCTGCTAGGGTCCCTGCCCAACAACGCCAGCACTGAGAAGCCCTGCACGACCTTCGCCACGACCTGCCAATCCACATGTGGCAAGAGGGGCCAACATCAGAAACCACTTGGTTTGGCCTGCCAATGAACCAACATGAGGTTTGTTGCTTTGACATATACCGAGATGCCTCAGCCGGGAGGGCTCGGGCCTCTAGGGATGCGAAAACGTCCACAGGGTGGGACCCCAAAGACTTCAGCGGCTGCTTCTGGCAAAGAGAGGTGAACCGCGTGGGGTAGTTCCAAATGAAGCCGTGCATGAAGTAATTCGTAGACACCCCCAGCCTCAGGCGCACGTTAAAGGACTTGGAAGGAAAAGGAAAACACGTTGGGACCTGACGAATTAAATATGGACCAAAAGAGAATTCATAATGGGTAGAAGGCCAGCTGTGGCCAACTGAGTCTGAGGTGGAGGTAGTGGCCTTGCGATGGGCATTGCCAGGGGGCAAGCAGATCCACAAGCTAGGGGTCTGCAAGCACTCCGTGGAGCCGAACTGGTCCATGAGATCCAAGTGCCTGTCGCGAAGACGCTTTCCGAATGGTGCCGAATGGGCCGAATGACGAATGGGCTTCTGGGGTGGCTGCCATTGGAACCCGAAGGCCCAAAGCCCTTCGGAGTTTTTCAAGGGAAGCCAAAGACAAGGCATACCCAAACCCCGTCGCCCAGTGACCCTGGCAGAAAAAACATAGGGGAACCGGCCAAAACTCGAAAAAGAGGCGGAACCTACTTCGCTATGCTGATCTCAAACATCTCCTTGTCGTCCCTCCTTCCAGCGCGCCTGGCCCTGAGCGCCGCCGGGAGGCAGGCCGCCCCGGAGATCAAAATCTCCAGCGCCATGACTACGGTGAGCCGCTTCCCGGTGTTTCGAGCAGCTGCGCGGCTCAGTGCGTCAAAACCCCGAAAATGACCCCGGTCGGTTTCCCTAAGGTTTCCAAACATCTGGAAGAACTCCGCGTACAAAAGCTCCACACAGAATACTCCTATGGTAGGAATTCTGTTTGGGTTCGTGGGCGTGCTGCTCAGAACGGCGTGCTGATGCGCTTGTTGTTCATCCTTTGGATCAACATGCAGCAATGATTCTGCCGCTTGGTGACTGCACACTGTCATACTGCAAGCAGTCGCACGGCGCCACGGCTGATTGCAGCATATTACAGCTGCAGTCAATGCGTGTCGATGGAAGGCGTTATCAACAAATCACTTCGTCGCTCACTGGCGGAAAACTGATCAGGCTGCGTCTGTGGCAGAAGAACCTCAGTCTGTGTATGTTGCCATCTTGCAGACTTGGCAGCCCACAGCCGGAAAGAAGCCTCTGTTGAAAGGACGTGACTGTCAGACCGAATCAGTCTGAAACCCAGACGCCGTCTCTCCAATCCAAGCAGCAAGCATTGTGCAAGACACCCCGATCAAGGCCGCACCAAAGTATTGGACCGCATTGGGCGCCACTCCGTTGAAGACGGCATCAATAAGCAGATTGACCTTGCGCTCGCAGGAAACAGCATCCCGCCCAGCGATGCTTTCGCCAAGCTGCGGGGGTTCCCAAGATCAAGCCCACGGAGACAAAGATGGGGCTGGCCACCGCCTGTCCATTGAGTACCGCCTAATTTGTTTTCGTGACACCCAGGCCTCGGGTCTGACACGGGATGCGCTTGTGCCGACTAGTGCGCAGCCAAGCGGCCAAGCCCCAAGCAACTGAGGTGTTGTAGACAAGATCCACAGCGGCACTGCCAAAGACCAAGTACCAGTTCACAGAAGCCGAGCCTTGCATAAAAGCTCACATGCAAAGGCAGAAACGCTGTCTGATTCTAGGTTTCCACATCCAAAAAAATATAGCTCGCCTGACTGCCACAAAGCAACTTGACACTTAAATTTGAGCCGAGACGCTACTCCACCAACGGTCCTCCAGCCCGAGGACGGCCAGAAGAACCACGAGCGGTAAGCCCACAATGCTAGTCTTGGATGTGCTCTGAGTCGAGAAATGTGCAAGAATGGAAACCCAGTGAGTGAGTGTGCACCTGCGGCCGAGGCACCACCGCCCCAAGCGTTCCCACCTGAGCAGCCGGACAGAAATGGCGAATCAAAGGTGGAAGGCAATTGAGGCAAAGCTGGGCCCGTGCTGCCAAGGCACCACGCCCAGGATCATATGGGGCGGCGGCGTGCCAAGCCGCACCTTGAATGCCACCTTGTAGCAAGCCTCGAGTGTGACCACGGGCTTCCCTGCCCACACTGACGGCAAATGCACACTGTGGAAGGCACGCACTCGCATGGGCAACAGCCAGCTAAGGTTACCTGTCTTGCAGCTGCGAGGCCGACGCGAAAACTGCTGCCACTGCACATAGAGAACCCAGCAGGGTATCCACAGCAGTGCGGCCTTAGCTTGTTCAGGCCAACAATCAATCCTGCACAGCAACCCGGGAGTTTGCACACGTGGCCCAAAATGCCTCCAGGTTCATTCAAATTATTTTCACGCACTTGAGATGCGAGCAGCTTGACAACTTGAGAGTCTGTGCATCGCATTACGTCACAAGCATTCTGACGCATTCCCTCCTTGGTTGTGCTTGCACAAGGCTTTGCCTGCTCAGGGGCCGGTGCCTGTCTCCTCACCGAGGTGCCATCAAAGCCAGCCTTGGCAGCCAGCGCAAGGACTCCTGGAGCCAGAACGGCTTGAGGGTGACCTTGGTATGTTTTGCTTAAGTGGTTGGAATCTTTCTCCCTGCATCATGGCATGGCGGAGGTTATGTCCACCAAGGTGTCGGGTGCTCCACATTAGAATTCATCGCCACCTGACTGCCATCAGCTCCTCCAAAGGCAAGCGCCACGGCCACTGCGCGCGGCAGAGAGAAGCGCTCTGCCAGGAAAACGCGGCTGAGCACGGCCACCTCCAACAATCATAGACTTGAACCCCCAAAAGCGCCAAGCCCAGAGCAGTCAGGGCAGTCCGCTCTGCCTGGGCTGGCCCTGTGCCGAACACGATCTGGATGAGCCCGGCAGGAGCCAGGGCAAGGGCTTGGACGAGGCAATAATTGGAAACAACCTGGCAGCGCCAACTGCCTTTGACAATTTGAACAGGCCTCACCAAGACATCAGGGCATGCCAGCAAATAAATCGCCTTGACCAAATATCCCACAAAGCTTGCTCAGGGTGGAAGCTATGGACGTCAAGAAACAGATTGTTCCTTTCTGTCCTTGCCAGGGAGCCCAAAGTGGCAGGAAAACGCCCACGTCCGCAGCGCTGGCCAAATAGGCGTCGGTCTTCAGAGCTCGTGCGACAGGAAGAAGCAGCGCCATCATGGTAATGTGGACGTACCTAATGCAGCCGCTGCTCAGCCAACAGATGATTTGCTTGCCGAGCTTGTTTCCTCCAAACGGCTTGCCCGAAAATGCTTTGACCAGCCAAGCGACATGACAAAGCATGGCGCATGGAGATGGCTCTGAGCAGAACGGGTGAGCTGCGTGCTCAGCACTGTCGCCGATGCGGTGAGCAGCACTGCTAGCAGCGCCTCTCCTGTGCAAAGTTCCAAAGAATGTGCAAAGTGTCCCTAGTTGTCCGACATGCCAGCCCTCATGCAATCAGAGCCCGGAAGCTTTGGCATGAAATCATACACAGGCAATATCTGTTTGGGGGAAGGCTGTTGGAGGTGTGCTTTACTCTAGGTGCCTGTCTGCGGGTCAGTTCAGTTACTCAGCACCTGTGAAGCCGGGCAGGTTGTGGCAAAAAAACCAGCCAGTCCTGGACATCTCGGCCACCTGCAGCTCAAGTGCCGAAGGGAGCGGCTGGCCATCTGTGCGCAAGCATGAGCTGCACCAGCTAGCCAAATCCTGAAATCCTCTTTCACTACTGTTGCCTCGGTACTTGCTGACTTGAGTCTAACCAATCTGGCGTCACGTGCGTAATAGAGACCCTTGTCCAATGACCTATCGTTGGAATTCGTGGTTCTTCGAGGTCATGAAATGGGACGCGAACCTGCTTCCAACGAATGGGCACAAGTTGTCTCATGACCATTCAGCACCATCAATTCAACACCAGCAAGGACTCGCTTTGGTTAGAAAATCGAGACTCCAGCGGCCTCACCTTTGCGGCTTCACAGCATTCGCCGAAGTGCGCTGGCGAGATGTTTCGCTAGTAAGTGGCCCGTGGCCAGCCAAGTGGCCAAGTGGCCAAGTGGCCAAGTGGCCAAGTGGCCAAGTGGCCAAGTGGCCAAGTGGCCGGGGAAAACGGTCCAGGAGCCGCGGACGCGCTCAGTTCTCGAAGCGTTGGAGTACGTCCTTTACGGGGCTGATCGGATGAACCCCTGATGAAACAATGTAAACCATTTGCTGTCCAAGAGCACAAGTACGGGTTTGAAAGTAATTTTGAGAACTCGCAAAATATTCACGTTAAAGGCTCTGCCAAACAAAGCCGCTCCAAAACGACATGAACATGCGCAATGAAAAGGCCGGTGGGTCACATTGAACCCACAGCTTCCCGCTTCCCCACGAAAGATGAAAACGAGCTCGTGTGAGCACGCGTGCGTGCATGCGTGCGTGCGTGTTTGCGCGCGTGCGCACGCGCACGCGTGCGCGCGTGCGCATACCCAACGCCAATCAAACGAACGCTGCATCCCCGGCATCCATCCCATCTCAGCCACACAAAAACTGGGAAAAATGACAAACAACAACACGGTATCTGTGATGTTTTCCGCATCTTGGCGCCGGCCCCGCATACGCAGAAACCCCGCTCACTTGATCGCAAACATGCCCGCTATGTCCGCCCGCCGCCAAAATCTATTCTATCCTCAGAGGGCCATTTTTTGAGGGTTGGCACGATGCCGATGCAACCGATGCAAGGGATGCTGGAAAGCCCGGATGCTGGTGATGCAGGGATGCTGGTGAAGTTGGCGAGGATGTGTGTCTGCGCAGATCAGTCTGGCCCGGCAAACGCAAGTTTGCAAAGGAAAACAAAACACAGGGCAGGCTGTAGCGTGGAAACCAATATTTTGTGAACAGGGCCTGCAGCCTCATTCCAATGCACTGCTTGACGTTTTGAGCAGCTGTCAGCCACAGTCCCTGCCTGAACTCGAGGACGCCGTTGTTAAGGCAGTTCACAAAATCGTGACGTTGAACAGGTATGTCTTAGGCGCAAGCAGGCAAACGATGTGAATGCGCAACCTTTTAGAAACACATTCGGAAGAGGCTCTGGAAAAAAATGCCAATTCAAGCCGTACTTCTTTGCCTGGCGGCACCGCGCCTGAGCCCGTTGCGTTTACACGTTATGTGTTGGACATTTTTGCGTCAGAACCTGGATTGTTGGAGCTTGAAGGCCGCCATTCCAAATGAGCGAGCTGAAGCGTGTGCTGGGCAAATGGCGAAACCGGACGCGCGCAGATGAAGATGGCGTGGTTACATGTTCAAACACGCAAACGATGAGTTCTTGATTTGTTTGCTTTCTTTGTGCGACGCAACGCTGGATGCTTAGAGCCGAAGTGGCGCCATACAACTTTTCAACCTGCTCTCAAAGCAGGGTGACGCCTCAGGCGTGCGCAACTGGAGGCCGATCGCCGTGTTGAAGATTTCCTTGCAACATCTTTTCACGGCTGCTTAAAGTTAGATTCAGTCTGGCGCCACGGCGCCTCCACTTCAGCTTGCTGACTTTTTCCGGGCGAGGCGCAAGCCTAAGCTAAGACATTCCATTTTTCAACCAAGCGCGCTTGCCTTTGCGCCTGCCGCAGCCGCAGGAGCTCGCTGTATAATTTTGGGAGCGTGTGCAGAAACGAAAGATGCGTTGTCGGGACCCACCCCATTGAGCGGGCAACATATTGGTCTTACGGCCAGGTGCTTTACATGTGGTTTTGTGGCCGCATGACCAGGCTTCAGCCTGCCGCTTGAATACATGTCGCTCGACCAGCGCGTCGCTTTCTTATAAGCAGCCCCGCCCTCCAGTCGAACAAAGACACCGACGCAGCATGAACACCCAGGCTGTGAGCTCAAGGCCCAGCTGCTCGTGTTGCTCGTGTACTCGTCGAGCGCAACATTGACCACCCACAAAGGCCCAAGCAAAGGAGAGATACGCAAGCGCCCATTTCAAGAAAAAACAAAGAGGCATATGCCCTTGTTGCCCCTTCCTGCCCAAACTGAGAAGACATCCTGTCGCAGTAGCCGCAGGCTTCTGGCGACACATCTTTGAAGCCATCAGCACACGCCCAAGGGGCACCCAAGAGTAGTCTAGACTCTTCAAGCAGAGGCATTCTTGGTTGGAGGCTGCCGCGCCAGAACGCATCCACCATCAAGACAGGGTTTGCCGCAATCACTTGCTTGCTTGCTTCTGTGTCTGGCATCTGCAAGTACCCTCACGCCTCCCCGCGCAAGTGCGCGCATGGCCGACGCCAGCACGGTGTCTCTGGAGTCAGCGAATTCCTGGTAGGCCTCGATTTTCAAATCCCAGCCTGCGCGTGTCGTTGGCGGACCAGGCCGACGCTGGTCTGCACACGCAACGCTCCGGCGCTGCGGTGCTCGCTGGTAGCAATCAGAGTTGCGCGAGAACCATTTGTGTCCAGGTTTCATTGGAGGATGCGACAAAACAATTGTTTGAGACAGAAACCATGAAAAGAAAGATCCCCTATTGTGACAGACATCAGCTGACCGCTTCATTGTGCGCAAGAAAAAACCGGGGAGAGGGAGTTCCAACTTTGCCCGACCCCTGCTCAACATCGCCGCTCGGCCCTCCGAGGGGATCGGAGCGATCCATTGCACACAGAAGTTGCACGGCAAACTTGCTCAGAAAACTGGCACAACATTCTTTCAAGGAGAAACTTGCGCAGCAAAACTTGCACAAAGAACTTTCACTTGCTACGAGCAGCTTGCAGAATCTTGCAGAACTTGCACAGAGTGGGGGGTTTGAACGGATTTTGCCGCGTCCTTCAGCTCCGTGTCCTCCACCCCCTGCTCTAGGCGTGTCACAAACTTCGCCTCGGTGCGGATGGCCTCCACCACCTGCGCGACGCTGCGCTCAAGGCCTGGCACTGGGTGCTGCTCGAAGAAGGCCTGCAGGGAAGGAAGCCCAGAAGGCCCAGAAGGCCCAGAAGGCCCAGAAGCCAGAAGGAGGGGGCGAGGACGAAACCCCGAGAGTATATCAAAGAGCCAGCCAGTGGCTCCAAAACCTGCCCGTCCCTTGGCCACACTTTGGAACCTCAGAACCAGGCCTGCACGGCGTTGGCATGGGCCTTCTCAGGCAGCGCCCCCGCGGCACATTGGATGACGACGCCCAGCAGCCGCACGTTGGCGCCCTGCAGCCGGGCCGTGATGGCGCCACGCCGCTGGATGAACCACCGCCAGGCCAAGCGAGCCCCGGAAGGGTCAGCACTGGAGACTCCCTGAGAACAGTTCAACAACGACTTGAACCCCTTGCCTGTAAAACAGTCTGAATGAAGTACGAGTGAGGAAAAGTGTGGCAAATGCAACAGTGCAGCCTGAACAGGGTACATGATGTCCTGGAGGCGAACGCCATATCGGCCACCCAGCGCCATATCCAGGGTCTTCCTTCGAAGGTCCTTGCGTCGAGCTGCTCCAAGGGCAGAATAAATACTGAGGCGCACTGCCTGCGGGGTGTCAGAAAGTTTGGCGAGGCGCCGCAAAGCACGGTAGGGCGCATCGGTTTCGGCATTGATGAGGACAACCTTGAAAATGGAGGTTTTCAAGTCGTCCGGCAGGGCATCCTGCTGAAGGGGGTCCTTCAGCCAGCTCTCGAACCGCTGCCGTGCTTCCTTGACCAGCTCCTTGTCGGTGGGCATGTAACGAGTTGCCAGGCCTACGACGAGGGCGCGCTTGTGCCTGACCAGATCCTCCTCGCCGTCTTTGGCTCTGAAGCCAACCTCATGCAGCGCTCCCTGCAGCAGGCCGTTGCCCACTGCCACGTCCACAGCTCTGAAGTCGCCTTGGGCGACCGCCACAGCACGGTGCAGCGTGGTGAGCACCTCCGACAGCGCCTGCCAGGCGTGGGTGGACTGCTCCCCCTTGAAGGCCGCCACCAAGCGCAGCAGCTCAGCGATGGGCAGCTGGCCCTGCTTGGCAAAAGCCATGGCGTCCAGCAGCAGCCCAATGCGGTCCACCGCGCTCAGCTGGCCACTGCCCACCGCCCCTGCCAGTAGCGTCCGCAGGCGTGGGGAGTCGTAGAGCACGCGGTACGGCGCCAGCTGTCCGAAGTTGAACTTCACCCAGGCGGCCCCGTTTGGCGCCTGCCACAGCATCTCCTGAGTCTCCAGGATGGACGGCGAAGCCTCGCGCGAGGCGGGCCCGGGAAGCAGGGGAACGTGCCACAGCTTGGTCTCGTCGCCCGGTTGTTCACTGCCGTCAGCCAAAAACCATTGCTGCCTCAACGACAGGTGCCCGGCCCTTGCATCAGATGCATTCACAAGGAGCACAGGGAAGCCTTGTTGGCGGGTCCATGTGCTCATCATCTTCTGCAGTTTCAATCCAGAGACTTGCTCCCAACAGGCCCAAAGGTCTGTCGAGCCTGTGTTTGTGTAGGCGAAGCGCTGCATGTAGAGCGCCAGGCCTTGGCGGAAGAGGTCCTGCAGAACCCAAGCTGTGGCGAAAAAGAAACCCGTCCAGCCCTTCGGGCATCTCGGTTTGTTTGCGAATGAGATGCTCCATTTGGTGGCTTCTTCCTGTTGCCCTTCAAAGCAAAGCACCGCTAGAAGGACCCTGAAACCCCGCCACCTTGCCACGCACCCGCCTCGCCCAGGAGACCGTTCACCATACGCACCACAGAGCCGCCCTTGCAGTAGGAAATGGCATCGAAGACTTCGTCCACCTCCTTCGCATGGCTGATAGGCACCTCGACTGGGTGGGAGCTGCGCAAGGCATCCAGGCGCAAAGCTCGGCTCTGCTCCTCAACCACGTACTGCTCCCAAATATGCCACTCTGGGAAGAGCACATCCACGGCGTGCGTCTGCATCCAGTTGGCGAAGCCCTCATTCAGCCAAAGCTGTTCCCACCACTCCATGGTCACCAAGTTCCCGAACCACATGTGTGAGAGCTCATGGGTGACCACAGTAGCTATCCGCACTTTCCGTGCAATGCCCACGGTGCTCACATTGCACAAAAGGTCCACCTCTCGATAAATTACCAGGCCCCAGTTCTCCATCGCTCCCGCTGCAAAGTCTGGTGCTGCCAGCATGTCTAGCTTTGGCAAGGGGTACGCCACGCCGAAGTATTCCTGGGCTGTGCTGCTGCACTGCCGGTTCCGGCAGCAAAACACATTGTTCACCTTGTTTGAACCGCACTTCAGGTGCTTTTCCCATGCTTTGTGATATCAGAAGGGGTGGACTGTGTGCGCGCCAAACTTGGTACCCTGCTCTTTGCACGACAGGCGTCCTCGTAGTAGGCCAGCGCCCGCACAGCCACATCTAAGGCGAAGCGGCCAAACTCTGCCTGCTCCGGGACCGTAAGAATGCGGATCAAGGTGCCATTGCTGGTCTGCGCCTGGCATACACATAATGCAAGCGGCAAGCCTTCAGCAAGCAGCAAAGCAGCAGCCTGGATAGAGTCAAACCGGCCAACTGCCAGTGCTAGCAAATAGCTGGACATCCTGGGCGCTGTCACTCTGAAAAGGTAAGGGAAAAGTGTCAGCGGTCCAGCGGTCCTGGGCGTGTCAAGGAAGGTAATCTTGGTAAACTGTTGCCTGCAGGGTTCAACAACAACAGGTCTGCCTGACTGTCTGTCATGCGGGCCGGCAGCTGTGAAATGCTGAGAACTTGACAGGTGCTGCATCGATGTCAGAAGGCATCAGAAACTGACCGTACCCCGTACAAAACTGGTTGCACGCAAGATCAAATAGGTACAAAGCAGGTGTTAGCCTCTTCTTCCATCTTCTCGTCTTGAAGAACGTCATTTCAGCAGCAGCTGGCATGTTGGACACTGCCGTAAGGGCTGCTGGAATGACCACAGTCAAGGCCTCAACTGGTGCTGAGCTGCTGTTGTGCGCCGTCAATGCACGCATTGGCTTACCAGCTGAATCATGATCATGGCTCTGTTGCCTCCCTGGGGCTCGAGCAAACACCGCCTTTTTGCTGGGCTCATCCCAGCACGGCAGCATTCTGCGCGCATCTACGGCTTCAAACTGCGTCAGTGCGAGCGTCTTCCATCCCTCTCGATCTTGATACCCTTAGCCGCCAAATGGGTGCCGCAGCCACAGCAACTGAGACTTCATGTCCTCAAACGCACATGTCCCTGCCAATGGGACTCTTTCAACACCTGCGCGTCAACATGTTGGGTGTCTGTGTTCGCGTGCATGTACGCATACGTGTACGTACCGCATGTGGGTGTGCCAGGAGTAATGGGGCTCCTCCAAGTGCTTGGTTTCATGATGAGGTCCCACAGCCATTTCATAAGTTGTCCTGCGCAGCAAGCTTTGCAGCCATGCATCTGCTGGTGTACAAGCCGGCCATGTCCTCACTCGCTTTTCGGGGGAACAATGGCCATGCTATGACTGCAAGGTGAGGGAAGAGAAGATACTGCACCACAGGATTTAGCTACTCAATGACCACGGGAAGGTTGGCATCTCGCAACGTCGCAGGCCTCCTTCCCCATCTCACCACTATAGGTCATGTGCAGCCAGGCATGCCCCAGTGGCAGGGCCTCTTCGAAGCGCAGCGTGACCTTGACATCTGCTCGACATGTAACATTTAGTAACAGTCCAAGTCTCGATGTCAAATCACAAACTCCTGAAGATTGGGTCCACTGCCCTTTACGGAGCCGAGGCGCTCTCTCCGCCTCCACATTCTCAGTGACCTCCACCGGTGCCACTGCAGAGGGCCCAAAGAAAGCCAAGGATTGCGGATCGAAGCGCAGCGACCGCGCCTTAACTCGACGGCCCGTTATGTCAAAGGAAGCCCAACCCAACCAGCAAATTGCCCCCATGCAACTTTACGACCCTAGCACACCCGTGCGCGTCTAGCACGGCTGCACTAGGCAGGGACGGCTGGAACAGTGCGGCCACAAACGCGCAAAGATGTCTCACTCAAGGCATTCCTGAAACATGCGAGCAAAAGCGAGCAAAAGCTATGGGCGGACTCCAAGGCGGACTCCAATGCAATCTCAAACGCTGCATTGATATTTGAACCCCAAGACTCATGCAGGGCAGTGGAAGCCATGATTCTACATCCCAAGCGAGGCCCAAACAGGCGGGACCAAGCACGGCATCCCAAACGGGATGTCCATGTCCAGCCTGGTGGAACGAAGGACCATGCAATGCTGGGAAATGGATGTGTGTCTTTCCCCTTCGCTTCCATTCCAAACATCCCAACCCCGCAGCCATGAACCTCTAAGTAGCAGGACTTCCAGGCAGCGCAAAGAAGGCCCAAGCAGGAACCAAGCAAGGTCCGGAGGAACGTGCTCAGAATTGGAGTGGGTTCCAATCAGAATCTACACGCACGTAGTGACCGCCCAGCAAACAATCAAGCAGCCAAAATGGATCCAAACACTCGCTGAAGTGTCGGGGCTTGGCCCCACCTCGTTTCAGCTGCATGACACGCAGGATGATGTGTGCCCTGCCGACCCTGGGCCTTCTTCTTTCAAGGCTTTGCCAGCCCTGGTTCCTACAACCCCGAAGCCTCCGCCCAGCCTACCTGTTTCGCCTTGGCAATGTGAGCCGAAGAGCGTTGAATGTGATGTTGAAGGTCTCATTGGTGACATTCAAACTGACCCACAGCTCGCCTGTGAAAGCGCTGGACCTGCGCGGATTTCAGCCAAAGACTGGGGCCAAAGAACGCTGCTAACATCCGCTCCAAGGAGTCAAGAGCTGAAGCAGCTCTCCAAAGATTTTGGTTTTTCACCGATTCACCGCGTCACCTTGCCTCTCCGGGTCCAGGGCGAGCTCCAGCTCGTATCGCAGCGGCTCCACGCCGCCCGGCAGCAGCTCCCGCCCGTCCGCTGGGCCTCGAGGGCCGGAGGCATCCGAGCGCCCGGCGCCCCGGCGCCCAGCGCCGTGAAACAAAAAAACAGCGGAAAAAAAAGTCCAACAAAAAGTGAGGCGTCCCTTCAAATGGAGATGGCAACTAATGTCTTTTCTCTCTCTCTCTCTCAATTTTGTAGCTCACTGGACAAATTCCAGCAACCTCGCAACGGAGAGCTCCTTTGACAAAGGTCTGGGGAGTTACTTTTGGAGCCATCCTTTCTACTGTGTTTCCAGAGGCACCCCCCCCCAAAAAAAAACAACAACGAAAACACCACCAGTTGAAGAAAACCCTTTCTGCGTGAAACAAAGCGGCAACACACATGCGGGCAGGGGCTTTGCAGAAGATTGCATGGCTTGCCAACACTGCTGTTGCATCCAAAGGATGGCGTTGTCTGGAAATTGTGGGAACCAGCATGTTATGTTGACAAAACTTGACTGGGAGGCTGACGCGCCTGTTATGACAACGCATTGCCAGGGAGCGTGGAGCAATTTACTTGGAATATCTTGGAATGACAGGTCACTCAGAAGCTTGCACCCGGACACGCCCTTCAAGTTCTTTCTATCGTGCTTTGTGGAGCCTTCTACTTGGAGCCTTGGGCCTCAATACGGCTTCTCCAGCCCTAACATGGGCACACATTTCATAGCGGACCCTTGCGGACCGTTGCGCACCAGTTACATAGGGATTCGGATTCACGTCCACCAGCCATTTTTGCAAGTTCTCCAACCTGACTGCCCCGCAGGCCTTCCAGCTCGACCTCGGCGCCCTCCATACTAACCTGGCGGTTCAATCATTGTCCCCCGTTAAATTTGGGTCAATGTCCATCCCATCCCAGCCCCATGTGCATTGCGCGCTAAACCGCTTAACGTCTCGTGACCGGTGCCGGAGCGAAGGCGGTCCGGCGGGCAGCCAGGGCCAGCAGCAGCAGGGCCTCGCGCCCGGTCCGGTGTCTCGAGGTTCGACTTGGGAGGAACCTTGCGGTTCCTACGGATTCGTACCCCCGGTTATCAGAGCTCATAGAACTTCTCGGCTTCCCTTTTGGCTTGTTAGGGTGCATCTGTTTTTCAAGGCACCCTTAGTGGAGCTTTTTTTAAGGACAAGGGACTCGAAGGGAACCATTCTGGCATTCCAGCATTCCACAACTGCTCGACTTCGCAAGCAGTTTCTTACATGGCATAGCAGAGATTGGTTGTCCCTTACATCTGCAGCTAGCATCTCTGAAGCCCTAAGCGGGTTAAGCACCAAAATTGACCCCAAATGACCCAAACAAAGGCCAAGCTGCTCCCACTCGGCGGCGTTTTGGGCGGCCATGGCGCGTGCGCACGGTTAACATCATCCAGTTCACAGCTCTCTTGCCAAGTGATCTTGCTGCGTGCCATGCAGAACGCAAAGATAAGCAAATAGCAGGGCATTCCCTTACCCAAGGGTCACGTTGGTGACAAGAGGCTTGCGCAAATCAATGAACGGGCTGCTGGATGCAACTGCTGAGCCATCTAAAATATCACTGCTTTCCTGCTGTTGCTTGCGCACATCAAACACATGCCGCAACTCACAGCATGCAGCAAATTGAATACTTTGGCAGCAATGCATCTTTTTGCAGTTGCAGATCGAGCTTCGCTAGAATCTAGATTCTCGTGGGGCTGGGAGGCGCATGCTTCATCCATCACTCCACGGGCGGCTCGAACTCACAAGCAATCCGACATTTTGTGGCGCTCTCTTGGCACATGCCATGATGCGCATCCCACCATGCGCGATCCCAGTCGGTCTGAGTTCTGGGGTGGACTCGTTGCCACGGTTTCCGCAAGCCGCCAGGCCAGTGCAAGATCTTCGGGGCATCCACCAGGGACCCGCTTCTGAGGAGCATCGTAGCCCGCCTCATCAGCCTGCGCATGCTCCACGCCTTCAGCTCCGACTCACCCACCCCGTGGAAGATCAGCGTGAAGACGCTCTTAAAATCTACGAAGAAGTTGTAGTCCGCAGGCAAGACGCAGTGCACGTTTTCGTTATCCGATGCTCTGATGGTCTCAACTTCGTTCAGCGACTTCGCTTCCTCTGCATCTGGGAGAGTGTCTGCAAGTTCTGTCCGCTTCGCGCGGCTGACTCCGGCTCGAAGCTTGGCGCAGCCCAAGAACTGGCCGCCAGCATAGCGGGCCACGCCGCTACGTCGGCTCTGCTCACTCCAGAACGCGTCCTCCAGGCTTTGCAGATCGTAGCCCCAATAGCTTATTAAGGCATGGTCCTTGTAGGCGCCCGACTGCAATTTCGCCACCATCTTCCGGAATAATTGTTTGTTGGGCTGCACCACACGCACCGCATTGTTGAGCCGAGTGATTTGGTGGCCCGCAGTATCCTTCGCGTGCCCAGAGGGCATGGGGTCATGAGACATGGCAAACACTGGCGTCGTGAAAAGCTCGTCTGCTGCTTGCACCATAATCATATCCTTATGCTTCCACAAGCTCAAGCAAATTCATGGAAACATCGACATTGGCGGCTTATGCAAACAAGTCGCATCGTCCAACATCACGACAGTATCATAGCTCAGATTCCAGACTGCCAGCTGTCCCATCGTGGGTCGGAGCTTCCGGCCTGCACACGAGAGGCTATGTCTGGTCACATCTCTGAAAAAGCTTGGCATGGCACTTCCCCGCCTTTGAACCAGCTGAGTTTCCACTCGTAGCCAGCCGGCACCTGCATTCTCAAGGATGGGGCGTGAAAGTACTCTAGCAACAGGCCATCAGCCAGCAGCTCTAGTCGGATGTCCTCTGGGATGCTGACCTGCATGCTCACACAGCAGCTAAGTCAAGCCAACTGCCTACCGGACCAAGAACTTGGAACTTAACTGCCCCGAGCGACTGCCTCATCCTGTGACCCTTCAACCCATCAAACCCTTCAACCTCAACCACCCTTCAACCCCTCAAGCAAGGGCCTCGGTCAAAACCACAAAGGGTCGTTGCTGCTGCGAGTGACGGCGGATGGAGTAGGCTAAGGTCCTCCCAGTGCAAAAGTGCAAAGCCCGCGAGACAGCCGAACCACGCCACAACAGGCGTTCCGTGGTTGCGACAAGGGACCAGGTGCGATATGGCGTTTCAAGCATCAGCCTGGCCAAGCGTTTCAAGCATCAGCTTGGCCAAGTTGAAACCTCCGGATACCTGATGAAACCTGGAAGACCTTGGAAGACCTGGAAGGAGGTGCAGCTTGGCCCGGCCTCACAAGCTCTGCGTGCAGCGCCACCTGCTCCCAGGAGATCTCTGGGCCTGCGAAGAGGGTGCACACCCACGCCTCGCGTGCCTGGCAGGGCGTGAAACATTCAAACACCACAAACACCACCATTTGACATGCCAGCTTCTTGCGAACATGGCCACTGACCCGTCGTCTTTTGCAGCAAGGCCGGTGCCTCACGGACCTGGGGCCACGCTGTGGCAGCAGGTGAGAGATTTGGCGCCAGCGCCAGGGTAGTGCCCAGCTCCGCCTGGAAGTCCTTCAGGAAGTCGGTCTCAAAGAGCCACTCACCCTGCCAGCGTGCGCCGCCTGCAGGGCAGTGCGGGCCGGTGGCATGGAGCGAGGCTTCCAATACGGTTTGCAGCTGCGCGAGGCTTCGGAAGATCTTGCGGCCAGCACGCGACAAACTGAGGCCCAAGTGGAGGTTCTGCGACTGCATGCACTCGGTGACCCCTGGCACCCGTGGCAGCAGCCCATAGACCCAGCTCTGCGCCCTTCGCACCAGCGCCTCGATTGCATCCAAGGGCTCCCGCCCTCGTGGTGGGTCAGTGCGGGCGATGGCCAGAGCTTGCCCCACGAGCTGCGCAGCGATGTCCACGGGGCACTGGGCACCGAAGCCCAGCAGCTCGCAGAAGCTTCCCTTCCCTTCCCTCCGGCTTCCCAGGCTCCGGTTCCGTTTCCGGGGCCAGGAGATGGAGCCGTTGCCGCGAAGGAGCTGCTCCACCCAAATAGCGTCCAGGTGCTCCTCCTGGAGGCCATCGACCTGCAGCTGCAGTGCCACCCGGTACATGATGCCGAAGATTGGCCAGCTGGCGTACAAGAGCTCGTTCCAGGGAGGCAATTTCACAATCATAACGTAGGGATCCACATGGGAACATTCACTGACAGAATTTATGAAGGAACCAACCCGAGCTGCTGAACTCATGGCTGAGGACAACTGCATGAGATTCAAGGCCGCCATGGCGCCCAAGGGACACACGTGGAAGAGCTCGGGGCACGACCCGCAGTTGCACCAGCAGTAGGACAGGCGCCAGGCCGCGTCCGACATCTCAGATCGCTCTTCGCTGGAAGGATTATCGCTGGCTGCAAACCGTCGGAAGACACGCCTCGCCTCCGCCCATGGGAGGTCCTCACCCTCCAGGCCGCCCTTTATCCCAGGATCTTCGCAGGACAAGGGGTAGCTGATGCTGGAGTAATAGCTGTCCCTGCGCACGCCTTGGTGTGGCATGGGGAGGGACTCCATGAAACCCTCCCCCAGGCTCACCTCGCGGTGCGCTGCGCATCCCACGCTGAGGGCGAGCGCGCGCCGCATTGGCGATGCTGGAGGCGCAGCGGGCCTGTGAGGAGGTCATGGCTGGCACAGAACTGTGCGCCATAGAGCCAGCTGCGGAATCCGCACAGGTGGGTTTGTGTCAAAATAGACCCAAAAAGACTCAGCTTGCAAACAAGCAAACAAATGCTCTGCTGCTGCTTTCCCCTACGGAAGCTCTCACACGTAGAGTCTCTGCAGGGACTCATCTGCCTTGCTCCTCTCAGTGCGAGCAGCCTCTCCTGGGCACAAACAAATGCTTGCCAATCTAGCCAACATCCACGTCTGCTTCTGTAATTGCAGCTGTCTTCATCTGTGCCCCTCCCCTTTGCCCAGGCCCCAGCATTGCCCGCCAATACCTGGCACCTGCATGCCCGTCCGAGCTGCTGAGATCTGCCATGCAAATCCATCGCTTGCCGTCATCTGGCCGCAAGGCCGCCCGTGATGCAGCGCGGATGACGGCATTCCTGGGCTCGCACTTCAGCGAGCCCCTCAGACAGCACCCCAATCTTGCAGTGCAGCAACATGCTGTCACCTGCATTGCTATCCACCTATCACGGGCAAGTCGTGCAACAACAGCACTTCTACTGATGTCGGACCCGCTTTTACACTTGGGGTCGCTCTCATAGAAAGTGTTTCCTAATTCAGAATCCTGTGAAAGGTTCGAGTCGCTTCAACAGAAAAACGAGGCAACAAAAAGAAAACAGCATGCCAATCAAAGCCTTGGATTTGTACTTTGAAAGGGTGGTTTGTCGACGCCCTTCCGACTAGAGGCCTTGCTTAGATTATGAAGCGGTCCCCAGACCATTGATGTTTCTTACACACGCTACCATCTGACACTAGGTTGTCCTCATGACCCAAGATTCCTAAGCTGCACGCTGTTTTACCTTGGGCCATGAATGGCGTTATCATCTGATTTGAGAAGCCCAGCCAACGACTAGGTCAATTCACCAACACTTACTCTGAGATCCCCAGTGCTTAATTTAGCACTGCCAGTTTTTAATTTAGCATTGCCATAACCTACTCTTAGATTTCCAGTGTTTCAAGGAGGATTGCCGATCCAACATTTAGTATTGCCAAGACTTGTTAGCTCTTGGCCTCCCAGTGGAAAATCTAGAACAACCAATTCTACATTCCCAGATCTCAAATAAACCTTTTGAAGTAGAGGCAGCGGCTAAGACTTTGATCTTGGACTTTCACACCCACCCAAAACAAATGACATTCAAGTGAGCTTGGTGTCGGCTGCTCATTTATATACCTTGTTTGCCCTATTTGGAAGCCGCTAGGGGGAACCCCTCTCCCCAAGCGGGGATTACCGAAATCGCCTGGCTGACCCGAACCCGACGTGCCAGGGCCTAGATCCTTCGTGCCAAGTCTCTGGATGTCTCCCCCCGAGAACTTCTCGAACTCCGACGCCAGGGCCTGGAAGTCTGGAAGCGGAGTTCCCGGACTCCCTCCGGGAAATCGAATCGACGAATCCCGGAGTCCGAAGCTTTTCACATGGCGGGATCCCGAATCAATCCTTACGAAAACATCTGGCACAAGGATTACGCTCCACCAAACATGGAAGTGCAAAGGCTCCATTTCCACTTTTCCAAGAGGAGCATCGTCTTTCCAAGGGGGGCATGCACTCTTCCAGGATGGAAAAGTGGCACAGCCCGTTTTGCCTGGAAGTCCACGTCCGGCGCGCGGGGGGCTTGCTTTGGCAGGCTAGACTCCCAGAGCTTGGCACCTGCCAGGTGGCAAGAAGCTCCACGCAAGCGGAGGGGGAGGGGGCCTCATGGGAACACTAGCTTCGGTTTTAGAACCACAAGCCAACCCCAGCCCCACAACCTCCGAGGGTCCTATCACGGTCGGGCTGCATTTGGGGAAAAACGGCAAAACAGTATGCAATTTTGAAGACACGCCTACAACAAAGCAGCGAGCTGAGGCATGGCTTACTGCGGGCCTTCAACAAAGCCCCACAGGGATGGGCCAAGGCTGGCACAACTCCAATTCTAAGCTCACACGTTCACAACATTTGAAAAGAGACTAAGTTCTTGAAACTAAACATGCAGCCTAACAAACCGAATGAATCAAGGTCACACCAGTTCGACCTGCTTTGGGCAACTCAGTCAGGCTTTTCAGGCTCTCAAAGGGGAGCTGAGGTCCCCACGTGTGGCCCGGTCAGGCTGCGGGAACCTGCAGTCATGCAAGCAAGAACGCGTCCAGGAATCCACTGCTTGCAGGGTGCATCGGCCAAATGCCACTAGCGTATCCACTAGCGTATGTAGCGCTAAAGAAAAGCATACACATGCAGCAATCGTGTCTGCCAACATTCAGTCAAACAGTTCTCGAAAGTGCTGTGAAATCCTCTATGATAACGAGTGCCAAGCACCAAGCCGTATTCAATTTGCAAACATTGCAAATTCATGCAAAGGTTGTCTTGGAGACATCAGCAACGCATGCATCCAAGCCACTCCACCATGAAGCGGAAGCGGCGGAAGAAAGCAGAATCGATGGCATCTCTTGCATTCGTCGTAAGAATGCAAAGGCCTGCCGGCCAGCAGCGTAAAACGTGTACAACATGAGCGATTCCATCGTGAGCTATCAAGATCGGCCAGGTTCCATCCAATCAGCTCTTGCCTGGATAGTGCTCCAGCCAGTACAGCCTTAGCGGACCCAAATTCATTCAAGAAATGGCATCGGATTCCGCATCAAACAAAACACATGACCGGTCAAGCAAGTTCGCGGTGGTTCACACTCCTTCCCGACCAGAGGCACGCCCTCATGATCAAGTGGGCCAGGAATCGCCCGTATAAACCAGGGGTTAACCCAAGCGCTGTTTTCGCTCGTTAATTTTGTGGGCAATTGGAGGGGATGAGTTGGGCCGGCTTTCACCTAACTGCCCGCAGACCATGCAGACCATGCAGACCATGCGGCAGCAGGCCGGAGTCCAGGTTTGCGTGCTTGTCCACGCTGCTGGCGGCCTCCGCGTTCCGTCGCCCGAAGAGGCCCTCCGCCTCGTCAAACACGAGGATCGCCTCCATGGCCCGGGCCTGCAACAAAAAAACTTGGCCAGGTTAACCTTTTAAAGTAACCCACTTAACGCTGAGAGGAGTGAACCCTGTTAGCGTTACACAACCCAGGTGGATTGCCTAACTTGGCCAAAACCCTGGATGAGCCGAATGCTTTCGGTGCCACCGTAAACTCATGCTCGCACACAATGTGCCCCCGCTAGCGCCCTTCGCCAAAATAGAAGTGCCAGATGGCCAACTGGTTTTAGACAGCGAGCAGCTATCCAACAAGACAAGCGATGGAAAAACAAGCCGATTGGGCATCTTCTAACTGGGGGAAACACAACCTTGCGCGCGACCTGAACAGCCAAACTGTCTCTTTGCTTTGATATTTTGCGTTGTCCTTCCTTCATTATGTCTATCATTTCTTTTTTGCGGGGTTCGTTCTTTCTTGAACTATGTATTGTGTTTTTGTTGATTCCTTTCTTCCTTCCTTTCTTTTTCTTTCCTGTATGTCTTAGCTTCTTTCTTGAATTATATGTGAAATATAAAAAAAAGACTGTCTTTGCGTATTTCAGCAAGTCCAACTTTGTCATTTCAATAAACAGTTGCGCCCTCTTTTTGGCACAAACAGGAGCAGGTTGAAACAGCCTTCAACGGTCTTTCCGGGATTGGTGGGGCTCTGTTGGGCATGTTACTTTTGCTCTACGCCTTCGTAAGGCGCCCGGCCTGAGGCATTGAGGCCAAAGCTGCCTTCTCTATTTTGCCTCGATATACTCAGCGACAAACTCATCCCTAAAACACTTCTACTTTGGAATTGCAATCTGTGTGTGTGTGAGCCCTGGAGATGCTCGAAAAATCGGACTGGATAACTCTGCGGCTCGGCCTGTCAGCTAGCCGCACAGGGGCTGGGAGCACGTCGCTTTCCCTCCCTCTCTCGCAGCAAGCAATTGGGCCGGGCCAAGGCTCTATGAAGCCTATGGCTTTCGAAGGAATGGGCCATGAGGTCATGCCGTTAACCTGATCGACTTGGCTTGGCTTTGTTCGTTGGGAACCTGTCAGCAGCGCCGTCCTCTTTCTCAAGCCCACGGAGGACGGCGAACGGAGCTGCTCCATGGAGAGCTACAGACCGTGCACCGCTTGAAAGTACCGTAGCGGAGCGCCACAGAGTGGGTACGGCGCAACCTTGAAGTGACTTGGCCGTGTGCCGACACAAAGTGCTACGATGTGTCAATGTCTTTCTTGATCTCTTTCTTTATCTATTTAACTCTTTATTTTCTGTCTTTCCTTCTCTTGATTTTCTGCCTTTCTTTAATTCCTTTTTCTTTCTTAGCTTTCTTTGCTTTCTTTTCCATCCCTTTTTCCTTCTCTTCCCTTCCTTCCCTTCTTCCCTTCTTGCTTTCTTGCTTTCTTGCTTGTGTACATTCTCTCTCTCGCTCTCTTTTTCTCTCTCCCTCTCCCTTCACTGGGCGAACGCATGCGGTTGTCTGCTTGGGAACCCGTGCCTCAGCGAACACCTTCTCGATGTTCTTGCCGGTTTCCCCCACATACTTGTCCACAATGTTCGCAGAGTTGACCACTTTCAAGGCCCGACCCACCTCAGGGCTGTTGGCTCATGAACAATCACCAGACACCTTGGCCATTGTCAACTACGGGCGCGTGAGTGCGTGGGTGTGTGGTTGTGTGCGGTGCGGTGCGGTGTGGTGTGGTGCGGTGTGGTTTGGTGTGGTGTGGTCTGGTCTGGTGTGGTGTGGGGTGTGTGGTGTGTGGTGTGTGGTGTGTGGTGGTGGTGTGTGGTGTGTGGTGTGTGGTGTGTGGTGTGCGGTGTGTGGCGTGTGTGTGTGTGTGTCTGTGTGTGTGTGTCTGTGTGTGTCGTGCGTGTGTCTGTCTGTGTGTGTCTGTGTGGGGTGTGTGTGTGTGTTTCTGTGTAAGTCTGTGCGTGTGTGTAAGTTTGTATGTGTAAGTGTGCCTGTGGGTAAGTGTGAAAGTGTGTGTGTGTGTGAGTGTAAGTGTGTGTGTGTGTGTGTGTGTACGCGCGCGTGTGTGTGGTGTGTAATGGTGAGCAGGAAAGGTCATACGAGTGCGTAGGTTTGTGTGTGTGCGTCGGGTGCTGTGTAGCCTAGGCAGGCGCGGGCGTGCACGCATGTGTGGGAAGCACTGTGTGTGCGCGTTCTGCGTGTGTGTGTGTTTTAGTTGTGTGTGTTTTTGTTGCCCAGTGACTCTGCTGCACATGAAATCAAAATGTGCGTGAAGTGAAGCGTGGCAGGAGCTACTACAGATGCTGAATGACGGTGTAAACCTGTGCTGTTCCAGCTGGTGCAGGCGCTGGCATGCAGTCTAAAAACGTTATACACACTTACACACACTTGCTGACCTTGCTGTACACCAGTGAAAGAAATATGGAAACTGTGTGTCCTTCAGGGGAATGTAAAGTGTGTGAAATAACACCCTCAGATGTGTGTGCTTTATGTGTGTTGTGCTGCATGATCAGTGTGTAAAGGTGTTTTTTTTTCTCTGTAAAGTGTGTGTGTGCACTCACATCACGCGCTTACACAAGGAGTCACACTTGATCATCACACACTGAATATATTTACTACATAAACACACTGACAACACAGACGCAGAGACAATACCCTGTATCATGTAAAAGTGAACTGTGCAGCAATTAGGTGCGTAAGCGTGTAGGCAGGCGGTGGATCGCAAGCCGTGAGCTATGTGAGGCAGTAGCTGTAAAAAGCAAAGTGTGTAAAATGAAACATGTGTGTGTGCCTGTGTGTGTGTGCAACTGTGTGGTGTGTGTGCTGACTGTGTGTCGCAGTGCCAGGTGTGTGCGCGTGATCGCATGTGTGTGCAGTGTGTGCTGTGGGGAGACCAATGTGTATGTGGGCAAACAGTTGTGTGTGTGTGTGCATGTGTGTGTGCGCAGTCAGAAGTGAAGTAAAATCAGTGTGTGTGTGTGGTGCTGCTGGGAAGCAGAAGTGTGTGTGTGTGTGTGTGGAGTGTGTGTGTGTTCGTAAAGTGTAAAGTGTAGGCCACAGTGATCAGCGTGTGTACATATACAGAAAGTGTGTACAGAGCTGTCAAATAGAAATAAAATCAAGGTAAAGCTGCTATGATCGTTGTGTGTGTGTGCCCCAGGTCAAGGACCATGGATCGTCCTGATGTGTGTGTGCAGAACAGTGTGTGAGGAACCAAAGTCTGCTTGTGTGCTGTCTGGATCAGGGAAGCCAGGCTGCAAACAGGTGTGGCATGCTGATCACAAGGAAGCGGTGGAGTGTTGGTAAAGGACAGCTGTGTGTGCTGGGTAAAGGTAAAGCGTGAAAGTGGTATGTGTGTAGAACAAAGTGGTGGTGTGCAAAGTGTGTGCAGAAGTGTGTGTAATGCAAGTGCAGAGCAGGCTGCTGCTGAGTGTGGGTGCTGTAAGCAGTGATCAGCCACGTGGTGCAGCTGTAGTGTGTGCTGCAGAAGCACAGCTGCAGCCAGAATACAGCTGTGCTATACTCTATTATATATAATTGTACATAGCAGCAGCTTTTACAAAAAGCGCTTTACATGTTTGCTGCAGGTATATTATATATAAAGTTTTATAAGTTAAAGAAAGTAAACAGAACTGTGTTTTAGGCTGCGGGAGGTGTGCGGCCCAGAAGCAGAACAGACAAGGTTTCAGGCTGCAGGCAGCAGCACAAGAAGCAGAAGGTGTGTATGTAGCCAGGCAGAAGCAGCCAGCAGTGTGGTGGCAGGCTACTAGCTGTGCACCAGGTAATGGTGTGGCTAGTTGAAGTGGTTTGCAGAAGCAGCTGCAGGAGTGGGGTAAAGGATCATGCGTGCCAAATATGGTAACGCATGCAGTGTAAAGCTGTGAAGCAAGGTGTGTCGTGGTAACGTTTGTGAAGCAGGTGGCTGCAGCTGGCAGCCGCGCTGCAAAGTGGTCATCGTGGTTGCAGCTGCAAAGGTGCCAGCAGGTGGGCTGCACAGCGGTAAAGGCCGATCTGCGTGTAAGCGCAACGTGTGCGTGTGTGCACGCGTGTATGCAATGGTAATGTGTGCTTGTGGGTAAAGAAGCTAGGCTGCAGCTCGGTAGCGCAGCGCTGGCAGCTTAAGCAAATGTGCAGCTGAAGCGGCAGCGGTCATAGCTGTGGTATGTGCAGGCGAAGTCGCGGCAAGGTGCAATCTGCGGCGGTGTTCTGTGTGTGTGTGCGCTACATGCGCATGCTGGGCCAGGGCTGGCTAAGGCTTTAGCTGGGGGCTGGGGCGCTGGGGCGCGGGCGAAGTGGGGTCTGGATGGCATGGGGCTAAGGTCGGGCTGGTACGCGCTGCTTAACGCTGCTCGCGCATGGGGCTGCCAGCCGCGCTGGGCGAAGCCGCTGGTGTTGGGCTGGTTAACATGCGAGCGGAAGGCGGGGCGACGTGGCCGCGGGGGCGCGTGGGGCGCGCGGGGCTGGATGCTGGCGACTGGGGCTGGGGGCGGGGCAGCGGAAGGGCGGCGCGGGGCGGCGTTGCTGGGCGGCGCGGGCGCCGCGGGCGCGCGAAAACGCGGGCGCGGGGGGGCGCGCGTACGTGCGTGCGTGCGTGCGTGCGTGCGTGCAAATGCGTGCAAAGGCGTGCGAATGCCTGCGAATGCGTGCGAATGCGTGCGAGTGCGTGCAATTGCGTGCGAATGCGTGCGAATGCCTGCGAATGCGAATGCGTGCGAGTGCGTGCGAATGCGTGCGAATGCGTACGAATGCGTGCGAATGCGTGCGAGTGCGTGCGAGTGCGTGCGAGTGCGTGCGAGTGCGTGCGAGTGCGTGCGAGTGCGTGCGAGTGCGAGTGCGTGTCCGTGTGCGAGTGCGAGTGCAGGTGCGGGTGCGCGTGCGCGACGCGCGACCGCGACGCGCGTGCGCGCGTGCGCGCGTGCGGGCGTGCGGGTGTGCGGGCGTGCGGGCGTGCGTGCGTGCATCCGAGAAATGGCACGCGCCCCCCGGGCCCCCTGCCTCGAAGCCGATGGCCTGCGCTGCCAGGGACTTCCCAGTGCCTGGGGGCCCGTAGAAAAGCACGCAGGATCCAATCTCTGGCTGGCCCCCGCTGAAGGCGGTCCTCCCACCGAAGCCCCACTGCCCATACCTCAATGAATGTTCAAGCCCAGTAGGGACAAAACCACCTACCATTTACAGGATAGCCCGCCAAACCAAAGGGAGACAGGGCTTGAACTTGCTCATCTTATTTCCCTCCATCTGTTGAACAGCTACCCAACAAAAACATAAATGTTGTGTTTGCCAACTCTTAGCTACAGCCACAATCAGTCTGAGAAAGAGAAAACAGCAGGATGCTACGCATTGACCCAGGAACAGCACCGTCTTCGACTTCTCAAAGTCGATCACCTCTTGCAGCTTCCGCCGCAATGATGGGCCGCAAACCTCGAGTGTGCATTCATCTAGGTGAAGGAGTGACACATTCAGCTCCCAACAAGCGGTTTGATGCCTGACCAGGGCCGGGGAAAACATGAAGGCAGCACCAGGTCAGCGGCGCTTGCCATATCTGGACCAAGTCTTAAACCCCGTGAAGGTTGAAGCTCAACAACTCGTTCGCCTTCAAATCACTGGCAGTCGTTTACACTCAGAAGAGGTTGTTTTTTCGTTCAGACCGGCCAAGTTTATCTGCAATGGAATGTTTAAGGAACGCTTGGTAAATTTGCGGCTTACTTTTGGCCTCCAATTTTTGAGCAGCCCAACAAGGCGGTGCCCGAGAACCACAATGTCAGGGCTTGAAACAACCTCCTTCCTTCCTTCCTTCCTTCCCTCCAAAACTTTGGGACCTTTTGACCCTCAGAGCCTTGCCGCGGCGCTAGGCACTCGAGGCCACTGCGGGGCACGATGCGGCGCTCGAAGCTGCGCATGGCCAAGCGCCCCCGGAGCTGCAGCTGCGCGCCCTTGGCCAAGTCCTCCTGGCGGCTTCCGGCAGCTTTGGAGGAACTGGGCCCCATGGGCCAGAAGTGGGAGACGGGTTTTCTTGTGGGTTCACCCATTTTGGACCACCGACGCTCACTAAAACATCATGAACCGGACGAGGGCGGTCCAACACGTCCAAACTCCGCAGAGGGTTCGATTTTGATGTTAGACCCAGACAAAGTCCGCAAGGGTCCACTTTCGATGTTTAGGATTTACCGCGAAACAGCTACCGCATTCTCTGAGGGACATGCAGCAGATTAGCTTTGGATGTTAGAATTTGCATCGCGCCACAGCAAGCGAGATCCAGTGCAAACACAGTCCACAGAGGGTTCGCTTTCATTGTTAGAAGTGAGAAGTTTGCCCCAAATGCGCAGACAACATCCGCAGAGGGCAAGCTTCGATGCTAGTTGCTCGCACTGCGCCACAGCGAGAGCGCTCTGACACCCCGAACACAAAGGATGCATCATCCATGGTTTGTGGAATTCGCACGCCACCGCAGCGAGCGCCCGCAAAACACGCCCACTTGTTCCGCAAGCCTGTCCAGTCGAAAAGCTCTTGCGCCGCTTTGGAGAGAAAACCGTGGGGCGAGCCGGCTCACACGAAACCCTAATCTCACCCGGCCTTACTGACCGAACAATTGGGTTCCCTTTTTGGACTGCCAAGCAAAAACCAGTCCCTTGTGAAACTGCCCCAGAAACTACCCCCCCAAACCAGAGAACACTAAAAATTGCTTTTTTCCTTTTGCCTGCCCTCCGGGAGCAGCAGAAACAAACATGAGCCTCCCCACTGTGGAATCTCCTTTGCTGCTTCTCTCTTTGGTTTGTGCAGCACTTGCCGGAGGGGCAAACGCATGGCTTAGGCATGCGGGAAAGAAACTCTGGCAACGCGTCTCCTGCGTGATCTTCACGTCAGGTACTGTGCCAGAGTTGTCCTGCACCCGGGCGCAAGCAATGCTCAGAGCTGTCAGAATGGCATTCTTGATGAAGCCACCAGAGAGCTCGTACCGCATCGCCAAAGCCGCCAAATCCACATCCACCAAAGGTAGGTTTGCTGGGATCAATGATTTCCAAATGTGCCGACGCAGGACGTGATCCTCAGTCAGACAGGTCTGAACATGCAAGGGACAGGTTGAAATGGCCAGGGATCGGGTTTCTGGAACTCGATCGCCAGCGTGATGCGCCGATGCATCGCTTCATCCAAGTCGAAGGGCCGGTTGGTCGCCAGGATGATCATGCCTGCAGATGAGGCAAATCAAAGCTCTTTCAAACTTCAACGCTTTGAGCCACAATCATTGGCCAACTTCCCTCAAACACCCACAAAAAAGGGTTCGAGTCCCTCATTCAGAGCATGACCATCTGCCAGCTACAGGCAAGATTCCATCATGACGTTCAAGCTCTGTCAGTAGCATGTTCACATCCCGTTGGGTAGACCGGTCCCGGGACTCAAAGATAGACTCGCACTCGTCAAAGAAAAGTACCTGCGGGCGGGAAGGATAACTTCGCGTCCCAACCTCAGAAGGCAGCCTGTTTTGCGCTAAGGTGCTGCATCGTTGATCTTTGACTCCCGGAAAATCATGCGAATGAAGCTGGCGGCCTGTTCGGATGAGGCAACTGGCTTGTGCTAGTCACAGCTTGGCAGCTGGCATTTGCGCTCCTGTTCTCCCCCAAGCGAGGGAAAGTTGATGAGCAGCAGCTTCTTCCCCAGCAAACTTGCAATGGCATTGGCAGTCATGGTCTTCCCGGTGCCCGAATCGCCGTAGAAAAGCATCACTAAACCGCTAGAGGAGATAGTCTCATCCAGCTTAAACTGCAGCTTGCTCTTCCTCGATATGAATATGAGCACGTCTTTGGGACCCCTTTCAGAGAAGACAAGAAGGAGAACCAAGACAACTGCTGAACCGGCTCAGCGTCCTGAACAACGACAAGCTCTGGACCGTTCGCGTTATCAGGGCCTTCGTCTCCTCTGGTAAAACCACCGACTCCATTTTGGTTTGTGGCAGGTAGAGGTGGCTGCCATCAACCAACTGGTGCACCTCACTGTCTAATCCCACGATGAAGTCCACCATTCGCCGGTCAATTTCCACTGGGCACGAAGACAAGTCCCCATGGACCCCCTTGGTGCTCACGTGGATAATGTGGTCCCTTACCAGGACGGAGTCCTCGCACAGTGGCTCGAAAAATCCAGACCTAAACAACACATAAATTTGAGAAGCCCCAACCTTGTAGAAGGCCTTGCGGTTGGCAATCTGGCTTGCCAAGTCTGGTGAGAGCAGCGCAAGGATCGTAGCCACTTCGATCGGCTCCCCTCTACAGTGGTAAACGCCAGGGCCAGGTATGTGAAAACGATGCGGGAGGAGAATCAAGCCAACCAAGAGGACAACCTGGCGCAGTCGCCCAGCCCACTTCATCCTCCTTTCAAGTTGCCCAAACATCTGCAGCCGAGCAGCAACCTCCTTCTCAAACTCATTCATCTGCCTGCCACTGCAGCTTTCACCGAGCGTGCAGCGCTACGCTTGCCAACGCCAAGCCTTTCAACATCAACACCGACTGGCCGCACCAAAGCGATAGGAATCTCTTTTCTTTGGAAACCAGCCATTTCTGAGTTTCCCCCCACCCTTCCATTTTTAGCATGCCATTTCTGGGGATCCAACTCCAGTTGTTGAGACGCACTGCCAGCCTCGAGCAAAGAATGCGTTCCAGGCGCGGGATCCATGGTGCGGCCTCCCGTGTGAGGCGCAGCCGCTCCTGGTGCTCGCTCGGAACAGCCACGTGTCTTGAAATGAGAAAGTGGACCTGCCAAATGGCTACAACCAAGGGAGCGTCTTGGTTTCCCTTAGCCAAGGGCTGGTTGCTTGGTTGGTTGGCTAGTTGCTTGTTGCGTTCAGTCGTTTGTTGCTTGGTGAATGGTTGGAAAGTGCACCAAAAGTGCGATGTCCAATCAAAAACGCAGCGAGAGCGCAGCAGAGAGAGGGTCACCAAGACCTGCTGATTGAACGACAAAGCCGAGAGAGAGGATTGCGAAGGACTCACGCTCAGAATGGAACGAGATTGGCCAGCAATGAAGACCGAAGATCAGCCGGCCACAGCACCAGCCCAGTACAAAGGAGGCATGCAACCATAGACGTAGGCCGCAACCGGCAGGAGAAAAACAAAGCTAGACCCTGCCAGAAGGCCGCCTGGGCCGCGAGACACACGAACAGAGACGGAATGGGTGCGCCCGAAAGCGTCACCAGCACCGACTGACGGTATGGACGGGAATCAGAATGCCAAGGGCTCCTGAATCTTCCGGCTCATCTGCTTCACCTGGCCCTCAAACTCCCGAGCCTTGGCTTTCGCAAATCCGGCCATTCCCCATGACCGGTATCTCAGACATCCGCGCATCACGCCAAGGTGCCCGTCTCCGCTCGCGTGAGGCGTCATGCCGTCGTGGCCAACAATGCTGGGGCTGGAAGTTGTCCTGAAATGCGGGCATGATTAAATCAATTCAAAACCAAAAATCCGGGGACATGCAACTTGCAGCAAATGGTAGCTTTGGCAGTCTGGCATTGCAAACACCCGCTCCTCGTGATCATCTTCGCCGTCATTGGAGCTCTTTTTGTCCTCGAGCTTCTGCTTCACCTGCACTTCAGGCTTGATCACATCTGTTCTGCTTCATGCCTGCCGTACGGTTGCCAACTGCGCACCTGATAAAGCCGCCCCTTCCTGGAGATCAGCTCAACTGCATCCACCAGGTAGTCCAGGTCGGTTTTGTAGGGCGTGAGTTTCCCATCTTCCTGCTCTTCCTCCTCTTCGCGCGTGGCTCTGCCTTCAGCCTGCACGGGCGACTTAAAAGCCTGGCTTTCCGCTACTGCATTGCCACCCTGCGTCTGCCTGTTAACCGAAGGGCACCACAGGACATTTCACAAGTTTTGTTTGTGCAAGGCATCGATCGTCAAGCCTCGCTAAACGTCCAACTATCCAAACTCAAACTCCCCAAAATCTCCTCATGTTGGTTGCACTGCATATGTTCGTCACGCACTGGGCAACTTGGAAATCAGAAAATGCACCTGCAAGCAAAACAAACTAAAAACCATCCAAGAGATTATCAGATACACCCAAAGTTCAGCGGGTGAAATGAGCACTTGTATAGGCAAATGCCGCTTGCGTGGATCCATCCCCTCACCTGGAGCTCGCCCATGGCTTGCATCCGCTTCTCATCCCGGCGACGCTCAGAGCTGATGATGTCAAAGAGGTCCTCACCCTCTGGGAAGTGGCTGAAGGACATCCTGGCGTCCTCCAACTGCAATGGGCTCAGGAAAATACGAACGTACCCAGCCCCAACAAGGTATTTAGACTCTCGTAGAAGTGCTTCAAGATCTTTAACGTGCGCGCGCGCGTTGGAAGTTGGAACGTGATGTTGCCTTACACGGATTGCTTGGCGGGCTTGGGCTCATCGCAGATCCCAGTTCCGCACTCTGCAACACTGGGCATGCAGCAAGGAAATGACTCGGTGTGGCAACGAAGATGCCTGCCCCTAAGAGCTTCTGCATTACTCTGGGATTGACGAAACTGAGCAACAAACAACTTTAGCAATGCCCAGTAAAAAGAAACGCAAATCCAAGTGCCGCGTCGACTCTCGCCTCCTGCCCTTGAAGGTCTTGGGGCTCCTTGCGGGCACTCTTCTCCGGCTCCGGAGCCGCCTCGGACTTCCGCTTCTTCGAGTCGGCCTCCCGCGCCTCCAGCTCCGCCTGATACAGATAAACCATGGGTGCGTCTTTTTTAGGAGCTGGTACCCGTTTTGGTGTCTAAAACAAGAGTCTCTCCCCCCCCCAAATTTCATACAAACCCGAATGACGCTAGAGTCAGGATTGCTTGGGGCCAGCAAGCTGATGGTTTGCGGGTCTGTCGGTCTGGCAAAGGTTGCGCCTCTACTTTCTTTGTTCTTTCGACGCATTGCAAATCATGATTCAACCTATTTTGACAATGTGTCCACTGCCACAGTCCAACCAGTTCCGCCCAGGTTGGCTACCTTGGCTTCCTTCCGCTCCATCAATCACAAAGCGCTATGGAGGTCAGTCTGTTTGCGGACACTTGCGGCATGGCACAAGCTACTCTTGCGGGAGTGAATCTCTACTCCGGCAGAGTGCAACGCATGCGATGCCTGCAACGTGCTAGGCTGGAAAAACCTACACTTGTCCTGCTACTCAGCCTGCACGCGCACCCCATCAGCAACATTCTGCCTACCAGTACCTAGCGGGCCGCCCAAATCCACCAGGTCCAATAGGCCGCATAGGCCCTTGAATTTTCACTTGTTGCCCAAGCCCTCGGCGACTCGTGTGCGCCTCCTCTCTAGTCACGCCTTCCTCGCGCAAGGCTTCAGCCAAAGCCCCGTCGTCGACTTTCAGAAGCTCCTAGCGATCCAAAAGACGGGTTGCCAAAGAAATTGCCTCCCCACTTGCAGGTCTCAAAGAACTCAAAACAAACATCCTTCAAAACAACACCCACACACACACGAGTAGAATCCATTTGCGTGCTGCACTGGAAATCAAAACATGAAAAGGCGTACGCCTTCTTTCCGACGATGCAACGAATCAACGAAGGCAACAAAAGGCTTCTGAATTTGATTTCCGGGTCCGTGGCGGAGAGGTCGGCGCCCGTGAGGGCCTTGGCGGCCTGCGGGCTCAGCAGGGCCTGGCCCAGGACCTCGTCCTCCAGGGGCCTCGAGGAAGAAAAGGCGACTGAAAGCAACTCGCAGCCGACGCGGTGCTCGCAACTCGGTGACAAGACGCTTTCCAAAAGCGAATTGCCCCAAAAAGGTATAAGAAAGGAACCGAACAATTGAAAAGAAACTTCAATCGACCTAGCCTCTCTTCCCAAGAAACATGGAAGTGCGCAGGAGGGCTTTGACAGACTGCTCGCTTCAATAGACCTCGTGTCCTCTTCCAAGACCATCAGCCCCGCAAAGGGAACGGAAACCAAGAAACTTGAATTTCAGTGGTGACTAAGGACTTGGAAGGGCTTGGGAGGGACTTTACAGGACTTGGGAGCTTGAAGGACTTGGAATTCGAGGCTCATGCAATGCTTCACCCCTTTCGCCCCCTGCCTCTCCACCTGATCTGTGTTTACAAAGCACACGGACACCTCCGAGATGATGCCTTGCTTCATGTGGAGCCGACTCTTGGAAGCGAAGTGGAGCAGCTCGCCTCATGCTGGCACGGTCACAGGGAAGGCTGCGTTTAATCTCTCCGTTGCTGGAAATCCAGGAAGGGCGGGAGTTTGCCTCGCGGCAGCCCGCAAATTGGGCTTCGGCTTCATTTTTGGCGTCCCTGTAGAGCAGCCCCACGGAAGGTGCACCAACATTCATTTCTACTCCAACTTGGCATAGCGCCGACAGCTGTAACTTGGGGCCCCAGCTGGGACCCAGCTTCGCGTAGGCTGTCATCTCCAAGTATCCCTTCAGCTCCCGGACTTTCTCTGGGACGCACTGCAGCACCAACACGTGCCTGTGATTTGATTTGTGATGGGATGAGATTTCACCTATTTGAGCATGCGTTGCTCAAACAACCAAAGGCAGCTTCCCTCCAAGGTGACCAAACTCTTGATGTTTCAACACGTGTTGTCCAAAACTCGCAGGGACACCGCCAAAGAGAGGTGCAAAGCCTTCTGCAGCCAAGCTTCTCGAAAGCGCGGCGCTCCTTGTCTGAAAGATCCAGTCGCCTGCGGAAAAGGCCCCAAGCTGAGCGCCCGGACAGGTTCGACCATCGACCCTTTCACTGCCAAGCTGCCGCACCACGCGCACGAATCTGGGAGCCAACCTCGGCGAATCGAAGCAAAGCCGGGCTCAACCTTCAACTCCGAGGGACAGCCCAAACCAGCTGCGACAGCCATCCATCTGCTCAAGTCTGCAAAGGCCCCAGGCGTCGCCCCGCCCTCTTGCCCGTCGCCCGATGCGCCAAGACACACCTTGCCGGCACAGGCCTCCACCTTCTGGGCCTCCAGCGCCTGGAGCCAAACGGCGAGGTCCTCCAGCGCCTTCTTCACCGCACCTCGGCTCTCCGACTCTCCGTGCCACTCACCTTGAGGTCTGAAGAGCCTGGGCCCCCAGCGCTGCCGCTCCAGAAGGGCTAGCAAATTGGATGCCTGGGCGGGAGGCTGCCCAAACAGTGCTGTTGTTTTTCTTCTAAATGGTCGATGATTCAATCCACCCGAAGCGGAACCAGCTCCAGCGCGCCCTCAGCAGGTTGGCTTTTACCTTTCTGCCCCACACTTGGCCTGCCGTCATCTCTCTTTGGAGCATGGCCAGCTGGATCAGCTGGGATCGACTGCCAAAACCTTGTCATAGAGATGAGGCCTTGGGAGGCAAACCGCAGCCTGCATGTTTGGTTTGTCTTTGTGAGGATGGCACAGTAGGTTTTGAGGGTCGTACTTGGCCTTGAGGCGTTCGTACTCGGCACCATTGTACTTCTCGTGCAGGTATTCCCTGGCACGCAAGCGCCGTCTGCCGATGATCTGCCACGCAAGCGACACTGCGCCTCGAGAAAGTCACGTCGGAGTAGAAAGCTTTCTGGCCATCGTGCTTCGCCAACCTCAAGTGTCAAACTCGGAAACCGGGCCAGGCCCTGGACCCTTCACGCAATGAACATCCGCTCCTCCGGGGCCCCTGCACTCTGTCAATGCCTCGGTTGTGATGAAGGCGGTCTCCATCGTTTCCCCGAGCCACTGCGCCGAAAGATGCGACATCCATGACGTGCTTGACATCCGGCAGAGGGAACCTAGCTGTGCAGTGTGCAAGGAACGCCTGACCGCAGCCTATGCACCTTTACTAGAACCTTTTGTGATTCGGGCACGAGCCTGTGCCCAGGCAATGGGTAAGTTGGGGTAAGCAAGCCACAAAAGAAAGGTTCCCCAAAAGCAAACCAATCCCCGGTCCCAAAGATCAGGGTTTCCCACACACCAGAGAACAACAACCAAAAGAGAAAAACCAAAACAAGTAAACAAGTACCCGCAACCTTGATCGACGATGAACCGCACGGGCGGACCCCACCAATCTGCCCCGGGCCGATGTCTCTTTCTCCACCGACACGAAGGTGATCGACGCGGGGACCCGGCGACGCTCATCCGAGGCGCGACGGACCCGCGAACTTGAGCCAAACATCACAGGTCAGTCACTACCGCGACATCCCTGTTGATGAAATGAATCATGGCTAATCACACCCCCCTCACGAGGAACCCGTCATATGACGGGTGGAGCGTGCCATTTACTGATAGGATTTAACTGCTCGCATGCGTCCGCAAACAGCTGGACACTACCGCCGTCAGCGGTGGAGCAAACCCACAAAGGCAGTTGCGCGACATCCCGGGCATTAAATTCCCGCCACCACCCCGAATTAATCGGGGTAACGCTGTCCAACATACCTTGTGGAAAAGTCCACGTGACGACACTAGGCCACAACTGTTTGCATCAACAATGCAAGAAGTTTAATTCTTATCAGAAGCCATGAAAAAGAAGATAACGTATGTCCATTCGGCACCCTCGCCTAACGGCAAGAGGTACTCCTGACCATGCGTACCTGAAAAATGCTTGAATTCCGCAAACCCGGGAGTAACCCCCCATCAGTTTGCTTTCCCCCTCACTCACACTGCTTCCTGATGAACACGACCAGCAGCCCAGCAGCGGTACGGGAGAGACATGACCTCCGCGCCTCAGCGGTCCGGGAGGAACATCACCACCTCCGCACCGCGCCGACCATTGGAGAATGGACGCTAGCCTACCGGCCGCAATCCTCGTGACTCAGCCTATCGGCTATCATCACGTCTCCTCCGGTCACGTCCGCCCCGCGCGCGGTCTCTGTCACGATCCCTTTCGGACCTCCTGCGATCATCTCGCCTTCGATCTCGCTCCCGATCTAGTGAATCATCCTCGCGCCGCGGACGGTATCTGCGCCTTCTCGATTCTCTGGATTCCCTGGTGTCCACGGTCCTAACGGACCTCCGAGAAGGAGTGCGGGAAACATCCGATTCCCTACGTCTTCTCCCAGAGCGAGAATTCGTCACGATCTGGTTGAGAGCCTCCAGTGCTGACGCGTCCTCACCATTTCTAATGAAATCCTTGACCTGCTTGTTCAGCACTCTGTTGGTGGAGACCGCCAAGAGAGCGTCCACCACCGAACTCTCAGGCAGCACCAGGAAGTGACCCTCCACCGGGCTCGCCGCAGTTCGCTCAGCCGACTGCAACCTGATCTCACCGCCTTCAGGCTTCTTTGCCATTGCCTTGGAGGCCGTCAGAGGCGCTACCGCGTCCTTTGCCGAAGATCTACCAAGCGCAGAGTGAAGATCATCTCCACTAGCCTCTCTTGCTGCCGCACCTGGTCTGCTGTCAACGTCATCAGGCCTCGTCGATGCCTCTCGCTTCGTCGACTCCTTCACAGTCTCGTCAGGATCCCAACGGGACTTCCTTTCTCTCTTCTGCCCTTCAGCCGACCCCCGACTACCGCCAGGAGCGTCGTCTCTGCCTACCTTCTCCTTCTTGACCTCAACCCTCGGTTCGGCCTGCTTCGTCTCCTTAGCCTCAGCCTTCGGAGCCGGAGCATTCTTCGCCTCAGACACAGAAGCGGCCTTCCCTTTTGGCTCGGCCTTTGGAACCGGGGTCGTTTTGGCCTTTGCGCTCGGCCTGGCTCCTTCAACCACCATCGCGACCCAAGTCTTCTTCGGTTGGGCCACAGTTGCATCAACCTCCATCGGAGCCGGCCCAGCATCAGCCTTCGCTTTTGCCTGCGGGACAGACGGACTAACGCCCTTACCAGACCCTTTTCCTGGCACTTCACCTGACTTTGGTGGTGGGCCGGAAGGGCTACCGCCCTTACCGCCCTTTTCCCCCTTCTTCCCTTTTCCTTTTCCGCCCATGACGATCGGCTCCTGCTTAGGACCAGGACCCTGTGCAGCATGATGCACCGATTGAAGCCCTTCGATGTCCACGTCCAATGGCTCCGGTTGACGACCATCAAGGACCGTCCTTACCCTTTCGTCACTAACGTAGACGAATGGGTCACGGAAGGGAGCGGGAGGCTCCGACTGCCCGGCACTGATCGCCTTCTGCACCTTGGCTATCGCCTCCTTCAACCTCTTCTTCTCATCGTACCCTGTCTCCGATACCATGTACTGCCTAAGCTGCGATATCAATGCATGACTTTCCAGGATGTCCACGTCCTTCCGATGGGTCGGATACAGTGGAGTCAGATGACCCGCCGCAGAGCCAATCACGTATGCCATCGGGATATAGAAGGACAAGTACGTGTCATGGCGAGCGAACTTCCTAACGGAAGTTGTCATACGCCTACCCCATTGAGCAGCATGCCTTGGGTTAGCTCGGAAGTACTCTGTGACCGACTCAAATCTATCGACTTGGTTGGTCAATATCAGGTGCTTCGCCACCCACTTCTCCACGAACGCATCCGAGGCCGAAATCCCCGACACATAGGAGAATTGGAAGAGCACCTTCGCCAGCTCATCCCACGCCGTGTCGACTCCTCCCCTGTCCTCACCAAGATAAGGGGGCAGTCTGATGCCGCTCTGCACCGTCATCCTCAGGTCGGATGCCATGGAATGGGAAATCAAGTTCCTCTTGATGACTCCGACCACTTCGGAGGGAATCCTCTTGGGCTTGAACTGTCCCATGGTCCTCACCCACTCCGGGACGATGCGGCACCTCTCGAAGTCTCTTTCTTCCGCGTTGGGGATAAAGTTCGGGTAGAAGACCGGGAGCGCACACCCAGGGCACAAATGCATCCCATTTGGCGTCATCTCCGCGCACCTCAAACAGAACGTGGTGGTCACATTCAACCTGACCTCTTCACGCGATCGCCTGTGCTCTCCCCTAACGGGGGTGAAGTCACCATAGTCTCATGCCCGATGGTACACTATCGTGTAATCATCGTACATGTATGCTGCCTTCCAAGCTCCCATGTGGATCTCGTTCCGAACGGCAAGGGTCTTCCTTCTCGTCAAAAACACGGGTCCAACCAAAGACCAGTGCACCCGAAGGTCCACCATTACCACCACGTACCTCCCCGAGTAGTTCCGCAGCCTGTCCCTGACGTACCACGAAGGCGATACCTCGGCATTCGGCGCCATGGTTCCCACAAGTGGGATCAGGCCCTCATCCTGCCTTCCATCCCCAATGGACTCGTACACATCGGGCCTCGTGATCAATATCTCGATCATGGCCTTTCCGTTTCGCCTCACCCTTTGGAGCTGAACCGCCTTCCTAAAGTCCGAGAACTTCATGACGACGTACCCCACCATGGGAAGTTCATTCCAGTGCATCTCGTACATTAGAGATCCGCCAGGTGCATCTTCTTGAGTGTACCTTTGCCTAACGGCACTGTAACCCATGTCGCGTCCGATCCGCGTGTTAACGGCCACTAACCTAGTGCTCTCCTTGAGGAGGACACCATTCCCATCGTACATGACCATGAGCATCGCCTCAACTTGCCCTATCGGGAAAGCTTTGATCGTCGGAATGAAGAACTTCCACGACATCTCGGCGTTCTCCATGCCCGAGATCTCCCTCAGGAACCAGATGGCCTGGTCACTATTCACCCAGTTCCCAGCCTCACGCCCGGTCTCCTTCAGCACACGTTCCTCGAATAACTCCGAGACTCTCTTCGAGTTGATGACCAGACCCTCGAAATCGCACGAGAGCAGTCTCATCAACTCCTTAGCCGCCTCCCGCCCTGCAACGGTGCCCGCGGTCTCCTCGTAGTTCGGGAGGTATTCGCCCAACCTTGTCTTCGAGGGAACCACAATCTGGCATGTAGCGGCCTCATCAGGGATAACCCCAGTATCCCTTAACTCTGGATTGATTTCCCGCCTATCGGCAAGATAATCCTTCCTTCCATCCAGGACCTCAAGATTGTATGTCATCTTGCTCGCTGCCTCACTTGGTCTGAATCTCCTGCTATCATCCAGCTGATCAGGAGCAAATGGTCCACTGGGGGCAGCTGCACTCACCATAGGCGCACCTCGCCCAGAGCATAGGTGTTTCTTGTGAAATTTCACCATCTCGTTCAGCTGCGACAGGGCATAGGCACGATCCTCCAATGACGCACTCTTCATCCCAGCCTCAGTCAGAGGAGCCTCAG